GTGTTGCCGCAGGTGCAAGGTGTGCGATGCCAAACTGTGCCCAAAGATCCGGACGACAGGTGACACGTATTACTTGGGCTGGTGCGGCTGGGGGAGGGGATAGGGAAGCGATAAACAACGGCTGTATTGATGGAAGATAGATACATGACATAAGCATGTGACATAAGCCAACTGCAGTTGAATTTCGGCGTTTTGGGCTTGTAACTACAACTTTTTTTTTGAATATACATACTGTTACATACTATTTGTAATACAACTGATTGAATGTATGACGGATATCTCATGCCATATCTTCAGTTTAAGGGATTTTAAAACCGGGGTTGCCCAATTGGTGAAATGCTCCAATTCAAGGGTTGAAGCGGATGGATCTCTGGTAAGCGGGGTAGATAATACCAATGTATTCCAGTTTTGTTTCAGTTGCTACTTGGGTTCCAGAGGCAAACCATTGTTCAATGGCTAGTTTCTACTGTAACTTGTTTTGAAACTATATAGTCATTGGGTTTTTTGTTTAGGCAGCAATTGAGATTGGGGGAAGACATCAGTTGTGACAGCATTTCCTACAGAGTAACCCCAGGTGTTTGTACCAAAGACCCCCATCAGCTGTAGTTGCCAAGTAAAATTTGGATAAGATCACCATCCCATTTGGACAAAATGAGTTTGACCCAAAGCATTGTTTGTCAGTTATATCATATCATAATTATCATATCATATCCCCAGATTATACTGTACCTCATTGTTTGTGGCCTGTGTTTCCATTTTTGTATCTTAACCCCAAAGTCAAAGATTGGATGGGCATGGCATAGTTTATCCGAATTTGTTTGTCCCAAAGAAAAGGGACCAGAATTGTCCCATAGAATATCATAGTCTACCTGGACAAACCCAACATCTTTAGCCAAATTTGCACGAAGAATCAGGACATGTTCCCTGGTTCAGCAGTTCAAAATAGGCTAAGGGCCGTCCAGTTCTGGGGTGAAGGGAATCATGGATTTCGGGCACCACCAAGACTCACCAAGTATGACACTGGTTGGTGGTTTGGAACATGGCTTTCATGACTTTCCATATATTGGGAATAATCATCCCAACTGACGCGCTCATATTTTTCAGAGGGGTAGGTATCACCAACCAGGACATGTTGACCCAAGAGAACTCAGCACGTCGTTGTTCTATCGGAGTCCTTTTTGCGCACCAGGCTGGCGAACACCTGGGTTTCGCAGTTGATGCAGGTTCAAGGTATGTCGGAGGAGCCCAGCTCGGTACTTTCTTGGCCTGGCGACATGTGAATTACCCTCTGGTTATGACTAACGTAGCTATGGAAAATGGACCATTTATAGATGATAAACATGATGGTTTACTTATCAAAAATGGTGATTTCCCATGGCTACGTTAAATAACAAGAGGGTAATCGAAATGATATTGAACAATGGAGAGTTTCTTGATATGTTGTGTGAAGTCACAAAGTAAACATCAAGTAATCAACTATCATTGAATAATTGGTAAATCTCTTCAAAGACATGACATAATCACCCAATATTATCAACAGTTCACAACATGTTCTCAGCTAAGATGGCCAGGTGTGGCGGAGCCCTGTCAGAGATGTGGTCACTACTTTCCCGAGGGTAAACTACTGTAACATAGATGTGGAAAACCATTTTTTCTTAGGAAAATGATGTGGTTATATTTATATATACATAGTGGTCATTAATGTATAGTTATCTTTAATCAATGGTGGTTTCTGATGATTTCCCCAATTCCGACCATCTGTTCTAGCAATGATGTATTTTCCAATGTTGGGTTTTTTGGAATTCTTGTGGCGCGCCATTCATTGACCCGAAGCACCAGTTCTGTGAATAGGTATTACGCTTTCTGCCATTTCCTCCAGAACAGATGATCGGAATTGGAGAAATCATCAGACACCACCATTGATTGATAATAACTATACATTAATAATCATTATATAACCATATTACCCGTAGCCATTTTGGCTCAAGTGCTCAAAAATGTTTCCCATCCTTTCTCCCGCAGAAGAGGTTCGCCTGCCTGCAAAGGCCTGGGTGAAAGTCCCCCTCTTCTTGGTTGAGTTGCTTCTTAAGCTCGTCTTTGGCATCATCTTGGTAGTCTCTGGCGTCGTCATGGTGTCCCTCCTGTGCATCGACTGGTGCCGGGAGGCCCAAACTTTGCCTCTGGAGCGGTTCTAAGAGACAACATATGCACCCATGAATTCAATGGATCACATAGAAACAATACAAACCCCAACTTGCAATGGATCCGTTATATAGAAGAGTTCTCTAACCTGATACTTTTACCTTAGGTATGCATTCATTTCATTTTTGCATTCCTATTCATTCCTAATATTTCACAGAATCCAAGCAAACAGAACACTCATATTTCCATCCCTGAATCTGAAACAAGCGGTGCCCCAACCGCCCCAAGGTGTGCTGTCACTTCTGTACTTCCAAGGCCTTATCACGGCAATCATTGCGGTGTGCAGTTGGATCACCGTCCATTGCTACCTGTGTTGCTGCATGGGCTTCCAAATCGTTCCATATGTGAGAGGCTGGTGTGATTGTGTAGTTTGGTGTAAACAGGAGTAAACGTTTGTACGTGTAAGGGCTGGTTTTGCAGACTGTGTTGGGGTGTCAAGGTCTCTTGGCGTTATGTATAAACTATTCGTTGTGGGGTTGCTTGGCGCAGAAATATTTCCATTTCCAAGGTGCAGCATGTGAACCCTCAGGCGCTGAATTTTCGCTTTAAAACCCGGGATGGTTTGCTCTTAGCAATTGACCATGACTCCTACTAGAAATTAGAAAATAGATCGGTGTTTTGAACAACACCTTAAAACGGATATAAACGGATCAACGACGTCTTTTGGCACTCATGTGCAGTAACCTTCTGGGATGTAGTTTTTTTGCCGTGGCCTCAGGTTTAGTTGCAAGGCGATGTGGGGATGCCCCCCAATGACAAGGTAGGAAACACCAGGTTTTGTGAATGGTAGATTCGAAACTGATTTGTGACCATGTGCATTAGCCTCAATAATATCGTCACAATGAAAACCCAATTGATTCAATTGATTTTCTGTCTTTCTGGTGGAAGAAACTAACACTGCTCGTGTATTTCGACATGTTCGCAAGCAACTCTCAATTGGAAGCTGCTTACTTTTGAAGGGACTCTGGCTTTGCATACCCATTGCATTGAGTGGAGGAGCAGTTTTTCTTGAACACCCAGCGCCATCGATGCAAACTGAGAGACCATTGATTTTCAGAACTGGCATAGTGAACCTGCTATTTGCGGGGAGGATTGCTGTTCCGCCGTCACACTTTCCAGCAGTGGAGACATGGATCCCAGGAGTTACTGTAAGCCGACGTCCCTCCTGTATGCAAACAATTGCATACCGCAGGTGCCGGATAAGATGGCCCTTCCAACCGCTGTGAGACCCCCCTCATCACTGATTGCAACAGACATGTCAATCAAGACCGCGGTCGCAAAGGAGTACCCGGGACAATCTCTGTAAGTGCTTCGCGCACTCCATATGGCGCCGTATCCAGGAGTTGCCCATCCGAAGCGGTGGCGATTCCCCCGCGCCTTTTGCAATTGAATTGGCGAAATGTCATCCAGGGTTGAGCCCGGAAAAGACATGAAGCCGGACTACCAGCCTCACATTGGCTGAGTAGTGTAATGCAGGTTCGCCGCGAGAATACTCTCAAAGGGCCGAGCAAAAAATAACCATGAACATAATCATCAATTGATATTTCCAGTTGTAGCTGGGAGATGTTTACACCTGTCACTCCATCGCAGGAAATGGCCAAAGTTGTAGCTGAAAGGTTCAGCAGTCCTTTCGCCATGATGGAGGTTCCGGACAGTCGTGGGAAGGACCTTGGGAAAGACCTGGCCCACTGGGTACTTGGTGCAGCGCCGCCCATTAGCCTCCGGTAAATTCAACAAGTCGACCCTGTTAGGGATTGGAAGATTAGTTTTCACGAAAAATAAGGTGATTTTGAGAGGGTTGATGTGAATTTACCATGAGGGATAGAGGGTACATATTATTACTTTGGGTCTCACTTTCAAATGTTGGGATATTGGCGCGCTCCAACTCCAACTATCGTTTTATAAGCCACGGCTGTTAGTGCAACCGCACCTTTAAGTATAGAGTCCATGTATTCCAGTCTCGTTTGAACCGAAGAATCATCCAGTACTCATGACCCCAGAGGTACGGCAATGGCTCACAAAAAAATGTTTCCTGAATAAATTTGACTATAGTTGGCGATACAGTTAAAGCACCGTTTTTCATGATCATTCACAGGCCATTTCCGTGGCGGCACGAAGTGCTCCGGAGGCTGGCGGGTTTAGCCTCTGATTTAACTATGGGGTATATTATGGGGGGAACCAATGGGGTATGTCATAGCCAAGAATCGGGTATTTTGGTCTGTCTGAAAATGGTGGATACATATCAAAATGGTTGTTTGAATGGGGAAAATGATGGGTTGTGTTGGTGCCACTCAAGTATTGTTAGTCCTCGTACTGTTGGGATGATGAAATACAACACATTCCCATGTTTTCCCAGGTTTTTCATTGGTTGAGACTATAGTGAATAAAGGTGCTGCTGGAGGTAGGCAAAACCCATGATGAAACCCCTTTTGCTGGGTATGGTTCTATAAATATCCTGCGAGTGGAAAATCAGTGGTAAATTGGGTATGGTCTGTTGCTGAGCTTGCCATATTAATTATTGTCGGCGCCTTCTGCAGCGTTTTGTTTGCGCCAAGCAATGCGTCAGCCATGGTGAGAACGAGCGATAGCTGGAGTCAAGTTCCACACTGTGGACAGTTGGAGTTATCATCTTTCATTCACTGATTGAAATGAGTCAAAGGAACAATATAGATTATTTCTCCTGGCAATTCGGATGAACATCGTGAACATGGACAGATTTGTTGGATTGGAACCCTCCGAAATAGCCCGAAACAGCAGAAACCGCAACAACCCTCACACGATCATTTTTTTCAGATTTTTTGGCACTTCCATCAGTACCCTTTGGCCCAAATTTCGCCGCAGCCATGACCAAGCGACCCAGCGATGAGGAGGAAACCCCTGGCGAAGGCCATAGTTGAGGGGGTTGGATTCCTCATAATTTTCAGGCACGCCCAAATATATCCAAATATCACCTTGGTGGTTACATATCGACATTCCTCTAAAGATGCTTATGAATCTCCATGTTTTTCGTTTATTGGTTAGTTTGTTGGTTAGTTCTATCCCCATGGCATCCACGCAGTGTATGCAGATTAGATGATTATCCCAGAAATCCGAGACTTGTTTGCTGTGGGCAAAAGATGTGGCTGGATTGTGAGCTACGATGTTTGGATAATTTTGCTGGGTGTTCTAAAACACCTTTAAGTGGCATTTCTGTTTTTCAAAAAATGTCACCTTTTTATTTTTACCAACATTTTTGGATACAAAACACCAATGTTAGCTGATGTTTTTTCATTCATTTTGTTGGCTCTATGTTCAGCTATGATCCCATCATCCCGCGGATCATCCCGTGGCACCAGGGGCGCCAGATGAGAAGAAGCCCTGCTTGCGTTACGAGCACTGCCAAGACCCCCATCACACTGGGACGGCTGAAGACTTGCGCGACTTGAGCCGATGAAAAAAAGGGACCATGGGAAAATGGAGGAAGACCTGGGTGATGAAAAACTGGAAACCGAATCCCAGTTGTTTTTCGATAGAAAACTACTATGATAGATGTGACAATAAAATAAAATTATATATATATATAATGTAATTTGTGTTGATTATTTTGATTATATTGCTGATATGTGTTCTATAGATGCTGAATGTATAGATAGTCTACCTCATGCCCAGCTAAGACTTTTTCTAAACAATCTCCAAGATTTACAATGGTTTGGTGCAACTGATCCTTTTTTGAAACCACATTGTTGCTGGGAGATCCCTTCCATTGCTTGAATTTGTTCATCCCAAAACAAACATACAGTTTCCTTTCAACCTTTAGAATGTTAACATATGTTAACATGTACATGATTTATTATAATTCCCTTTGTTTGGCTTGAAGGTGTTCTTGTTCCATGTTCCCAGAGGGAAAAATTAGCATTTGGGGACGTGGAACAAGCTGTCTCTAAGATGATTTGAACGTCGGTGAATTATTTCACCTGTCGGGAACCATGGGTTTTCCATGTGTCCAAGTTCCTCCAACACCGAAAATATGAAAGGAATGTCTTCGTAAGGTTTCCTGAAGTGGCATGGGCTATGCTGCAGGCGGAATTTGTCTTAGAGACTGCATTCTGAGATGTTAGACTTTGACCTTCAACCACAACTTAAAACTTCACCAAACAGGAACATAAATACATTGCGTAATCATAATTGTCCGTAATAAAAAAACCTGTTGGAGGTGTAGCCAATTGTCAGGTAAACCCACATGTCCTACTGTTGGCTATGCTTTCATCCCTGGTTGTAGCAAAAGATGAAGTTGTACTAAAGTACATACTACTGGTATGTTTTTTCATTGGAAACTATGGGAAAATCATCTAGAAATCATAGATCTTTTCTGGCAATGACGAATGCTTTTCCCAATCAAACCGCCATTTGTCCATGGAACATGGGCGGTTTTTCCGAGCTCAGCTCATCACTGAGGTCGGTGTCGGAAGGACGGCAGGGTGCGGTGCAAAGGGTGCCGGCAGGACCAGAAGCGCAAAGAGGATGCGGTGCCGCTGCTGAAAGGGTTGGTGATTCGGGGGAGCTGGTGCTGAAAACCCTAGGTTACTAGGATAGTGAAAACTCCAATGTACCGAAAGTGGTCATTGGACTATTCCTACTTCCGCTTTTTTCAACTGGGGATATGAGTTATAAAACGCTTCGGAACTGGTCAACCACCATGCACCATGAACTATGGAGGTGCCTAAAATGAGGGTACCCCCAAATCATCCATTTGAATAGGATTTTCCATTATAAACCACAGCCCCATTTTTGGAAACCCCCATATTTCAAAGTCCATTGAGGTTTAACTACTTGAAGAACCAAGACATTGAGTTTACACATTGAACAAGTGTGTAAGCACAACACATGGGATGGTTTAACCACCACACTATGGGTTTTACGCCATTGGTGAACGGTTTACCTAAGCCGGCTAGAAAAATCTAATCACCATGTTCAAGGCGCGTAGATTCTTAGATGGTCTACAAACGGGGAATATGCCGTTGCCAGGTGAAATTAAGAGGGGTATATAATAACAAACAATTACCCTCTGGAAAATTAACTTGTGGACCCTGAGATTTTCACCAAATTTTAGTGGAAACTAATCTTCTAACCCCGATGACTACCAGGGTCTATGTTAATTTACTGGAGGGTAACAGGTAAAGTAGCATCTGAATAGTACAGTGCTAGTACGGGGTTTAAGATGGCTCAAGTATGTTACTCCTTGCTGAAAAGCATAAACCGAAAGACATCATATCACGTGGGTCACACTGGTTGTTACAATACCTTGGTTTGATTTTGCCCTGTACCCTCTGGTAAACTAACATAGCTATTGAAAATGGCAATTTATAGTGAAATTTCCCATGAAAAATGGTGATTTTCCATAGTTATGTTAGTTTACCAGAGGGTATCGTCTGAATTCATGCGTGCGTTAGTTAATATCCCCATCTTTGCGGGTTATTGTATATGATCACTTGCCTGCTGTTGTTAATCGAAGCAGCGAATCGCCAAGACATGATTTACTTGGCAGCAATTCAATCTGGAGACTTTTCTTCATTTCTGGTGACCTGAAACAACCTGTCCAAAAAGACAATGATCTAAGTCCCAGTACAACATGATGATGATGTAGTTACTATACTTAGTACAAACGATTGTAATATAATATCTAAAAGTGCCTAGGTTACACTTTTAGTATATAATATTCAGGCAATCATCAAAAGCGGTCCAACAAATGAGCAAGACATGATGCTATTTCATGACTGTTTGTTGAGATGTCCATCATACTATACTGTGTATATACTATATATATATATACAGTATATATATATATATACTGTGTATATATATATATGTGTGTGTGTGTAGTGTTATACAAAGTGCCGTTGGTTGCGATACCAGATTTGCTGCTTCAGTGATTGCAGCACTGTCCATCTAAGATCCTTTTTCACCAATGATGAAGGAAACCTGCGAGATCATCATATCAGAAATGTTGGATCACCGGAAATCATCCAGAACACCCTCTAAATCCAGGTTTGTTTTTGCAAAATCATCTAAACAATCTCTAACATCAGAAAATCACCAGAATCACCTAGAACATTTCTAAAAATCGCCCAGAAAATAATGTAAATCGCCCAAATTCAGCAGGTTACCCACGTTTTCCTATGGGATTTCTTGGGATTTCTCAGGTGGGAACCCGCGGGTTGGATTTAGCGGCCCACTTCCGTTCCAAGCAGCTGCAGCAACGCCACCTGCCCGCCGTGGAGGTGAGGAAAAACCATGGCGAAAACGTGGCGGTGTTGGGATAGGAAAAACCCATGAGAATTCATGGCTTCCCCAGGAATTTTGATGGTTTGTCCCACGAAATTTGATGGTTTTTCTCAGGACATTTGATGGTTTTTCTCATGAAAATTCATGGGTTTTCTCTGGAAAATTGATGTTTTTTCTCCAAACAAAAAAACTTAGGAACTTTGATGGTTAGCAAAGGAAATCATCCCCAAATGATGTGTGGCTGATTTGTTTCCGCTATGTTCACGTTGGTGAATTACTACAAAATTCAACCAGATTTGATGGTTTTCCCAAGCCTTTGGTGGTTTTTGTCTGTTTCCTTGGGAGAAAACCACCAGATTTGATGTTTGATTACAATTCTTCTTCGATTTTGTGTCCAGTTAAACTGACTTTTTCTTTGATGAATGACAACACATCTATATTCCAAACAATTTCGTGTGATGTTCCGGCTTTCAACAATCAATCCTATGATGTTTGCGATGACGTCGCTGCCTTAAGTTTTCAGTCTTATTCCCAGATTGGATGGTGATTTTCCATCATCATTGCTTACAACAGAGAGGTTGCTAGTATTCGTGTTATGACTCTTCAAGAAACAATGAAGACATATATATATATATATACATATTATACATATGTATATATATATATATACACACTATAATTTGGTACATCCAGATTCGTTACTGGAATTTTCCTGTTGAGTCTTGGTACCCTCCGGTAATCAAAGATGGCAATGGAGCTGATTCCCGCGGAACCCTCTGCCAGGTGGTAGTCAGCTCACCCTCAGACGATGACATCAAGGAGATACCTGGGATGCGAAGTGGAATTGGAGCAGTCATGATATATGTTTATGGCTTTGTTTGAAAATGGGATATATCTATAAGATTCGGGATAGAATCGGATAGAACATCGAATGAACTGTGTTCAAAGCCCCTGTTGGTTGATGACTGTACGGGGCTAGACTACCCAATATATATTGGATATTATCACGATTTATGATGGGAAATCCTAGCAACCAACCAGTATAAAAAGGAACGGCGTTTCGGGCTTTAACAAATGGCCCAAATGATGTCGGAACACATTCAATACTTGCAGACAGTCCGGATGATGCGCAATGGCGAATTCTGCAACTTCTATGAACGGTGGATATCGAATGATATGAGATTAACCTATTTGCAAAATAGATGGGTATGTCTGAAAATGGGCTATACCCCAATACCCACAACTGGTCATTTGAATAGGGAAATAGTGATTTGTTCAATCACATGTTGGAGGGTTTCCCCTAGTTTTTCAGACAAACCCTCTTCATCCAATATGATTTAGCTGTCCCCCCAGCTGGATGCCAACCGAGATGTTGTTCCCTGCACAAGTCCGCTGGTTTCAGCTACTGCAAAAAGGTTGAAATAATATATATATATATATATATCCGACCATCTCCCAACACAGATAGCATTTTGGGGGAGAACAAATATATATATATATATATAATTATATATATAATATATACACCAAAAACTGTGTCATTGAATCCATCACTCTTAGCCCAAAAGTGATTTTTAGGCCCGCACCCGAAAATTTGAAAATCCACAAAGATCGAAAATTATGCTGTCCAGGTATATATATACACACATACACACACACATAATATTTATACATTATACATATGCATAGTAATCTAGGTGCTGGAACTAAGCGAAGGAATCACTTGCTCACTTGGATAGTGCCTAATGATTAATCCCACATGATCTAAAATGATTTTAAATGATCATGGAATGATCTTAACACATGATCTTAAACGATGATCTTAAATGATCTTGAATGATCTTAAATAACCTTAACTGATCTAAGATTCCCAGATATATCTCAAAATATCCCAACCGCTGCCCCGGGGCACCTGTGTTCCCGCCACAGGAGACCAAGGATGCCACGAAACCGGTGGTGGACTTCGCCATTGACCCGGCGGCACCGCTGAAGATCGAAGAAGAGTCGACGACGGTGTCGTGGCGGTTCGTGGCCTTTGCCAAGTGGTTCTGGGGGGTACCCTTTGGGATTACTGTAGATATAGGATACATGGATTTATGGATGATGAATGGCTTATTGAATCTTATAATATGGATGATTTATGGATGATTTATGGACCATTTATGAATGGTTGATGGAGTATGAATGGGTTTTCTATGGATTGTTGATGCCATCCCTGACATTGCCCATTTTGATGGGTGGTAAGCAGTATCCCCAAATGATAGGTTTATTGTTGGGTTTACCACATTTATATGGAATATCTATGGATTTTTGATTGATGGAGTAGTGATGGAGTATTGATAGAATACTGGGGATACAGTGGGATCTTACCATATCTTACCCTTTGTTCTCTTTGAGATGGCTGGGAAATCTGTGGACGAGTCATGGAGGCTTGTAGCCGTTGTAGCTGGGAAATTCATGGAACTATTGCTAGGGAATGTTCCAGCCAACTGGCGCTGATTACCAGAGGCTATGTGGTTTGTTTGATATTGGCTTAAAACGATGTTTGAATCCCCATATTGGTCGTGAACAAGACTCTTTGAATTTTAGTAGTTACTATTAATGTGGGGTTCATTTAAATTTAGTGGGTGTATGGAGGATAAATATAGAAGTGATTATTTGTTCCACTGATCGTGGATTTCAAGTCCAAGAGGAATAAACAACCCAGGGATGTAGCATGACATGACAATGAGTCAAATCCTACATTCCTACTGTGGATAGAAGAAATCCTGCACCAGTTGATAGATGGTTTATTCCATTATTTATAGGGTTTCAACCATCCAAGGTGGTGCAAGTACCCTAGTACAGTACGCACCCACCGTAAGCTGATGTCGCCAGTAGATGACAGCAGTAGACGGATGCAGTTGGAGGAACTAATGACCCTCAGAACCGCAAACTGACTCAACAAGGGGCCTACTATCACTTATAATCTGTTTCAAATGCTGGAGTTCCCTATATCGAATTATGATCCCACCCATACGACACTTGTGTTTGGGAGGAGTTTAAGCCACCGACCGTGCAGCAAGTATTATATCCCGATTCAACTATATAATTACATAGTACTGTACTTAAGCAGTGTGTATATGAATATGAATTCATGATATACTGTAATCACTTAAAAGATTTTCGCAACATCAGGAAAAACTCTGGGAGGGTTTGGCCCTTTATTGGCTGATGATTGTTCATGATTTCAAGATCCATTCTTCTTGGGTATCCCAATTTGGACCCATTAGCACATATGCTTTCGTGGTTGCAGGCAATTGGTTTTCGTTATTTTCTGCTTTGAAAGGATGCAAAAAGCAACATCAAAGGCATTTCAATCAACGTATGTCATTTCTGTTCACTCCGTGTGCAAGAAGAATATCACCCAAACTCATTGGAATGTCATGTTTGAATGTTTGAATTTCTTCCATTTTGGGGGGTTGAAGTCGTGGTCAAACAGTATCTAGGCAATTTTTTACTCAGTATGATTTTGACATGTACTAGTTTTCCAAGAAGATCTTGTGACTTCTCCGATGATTACAGTATATGTTTACGTTTTCTTGAATATTGTTCCACACAAGACTCTTGAGCAGAAAATGCACTTTTTTGTCGATCAGTTGCAGTTGATTTCGGACCTCTGATGTCCGTTGCAGCGATGGTGGTGCATGTTTTTTTCGCTGAACAGTGTGCCCTTAGGATGTGCCAAACACATCTCCATCCTCACCGTCATCAAATGCCGCTGCCCGGATGCGTTGCGTGATTTTCCTAGGGTGGTCTGTTTCAGTTGGGAATACTTTGGTTTTCTATAATTATTCTTTTGGGCTATCCATTTGAGAACTTCCCCTGCTTGGAACACATATCTGAGAATCATAGGGTTTCTGAACCCATTGAAGGATGAATGTCCATATTTTCTCACTAAACATATGAACTTATCTTACTTTGTTCAGTCCTGGGTCGCCACCCCCGAGGCTAAGAAGAAACCCAAGAAGAGGGAAGCACTTGGCAAAGGCTGCGGCGCTGCCAGTGAAACTCATTGGATTGGTTTGTTTAGGAAAATCTTACCCAGAAACCATGGATTTCCCAGGCAAATTTAGGGGCAAACCCTTTCCAACATATCCTTTCAACCATTTCTAGGTTGACAATTGAAAGAAATCTGGGCAAAGATGAAGCTGATGCATGAGATGTCAGATGACGCACCAAATCAACATCAAAATGCTCAGGATGCTGGGTATTTTGAGGTAGACCATCCCACTTTCGGCAGGTGTGAAATGCTTGCACATTGGTTGCGATGTTTGTCCCCGCTCCTTGGACAAAAAGCCCGGTATGATCAGTGTTAGTCACTGGGTACAGTATAGCCCTAGTAATTATTGGATGATTTGAGCCCCCAAATGGTTGGTTATATTGCATTGGGTTTACGGGAAACAATGCCCTCTTTGCAGAATTCAATGATGGATGGGTCGACTCAGGAGTTTACAAAGTTTGGGCCAATGGATGAGGGTTGTGCCCTAGAACATGTCGTCATGCTGTCAATGACCTTCGATCGAAAACAAACAAAAGCTTTCCAGATGTTCAGCCAAAGCACGGTTGACACTCGAGGCAATCAAGGACCTCCAGGATTGAGATCTACATAAGTTTCAACTGCCAAAGTCGATAATGTTTGGGGCCACATTAGTGTTCGCTAGTCTCAATATGTTAGTGATGATTGTTTTCCATCACGAATCCATTTCACCGCAACGAGTGCCAACATGATGTCGATGTATGAGGGCAAAGATGGCCCAGAATCACTAGCGCTACTCTTTCACAGATGTGTGGCTCAAGACTTTTATAAGTCCAGCAAACTAAAAAACCTGACCAGAAATGAGGAGTACTCTTTGGTTACCCCTGTCAAAATCAATTGTCCAAAATCATCTGAAATCTGGTTTCGGAATTGTTAATCAGTGCTATAAACAATTATAAATAGTCCTATCCAGATCCCGTTGGAGCCATGACTTGACTTGCCAGAGCCGGCTCCAGCTGTATCAGGATGGTTCGTGGTGGATCAAGTGCTCTTTGATCATTGGTGCAACGAAAAGTTCACCTGCTGCATGGTGGGTGAAAGCTGTAGTCGGTCTCTCGGCAACTGAAGCGTCAAAGCAGTTTGCCATGTTCGAGGTCTCAGTAATCTATGGGTTTCCCATGGTTTCCAAGAAAAGGCCACATCACAGGGGATAGTGTTTGTCCTAGCTGTTGATTTCTGATCCTATCATTTCTTCTTGGGGGTATGGGAAATATGTATAAAGATGTGGGAATGCGGGTCATGCAGGTCCCATATCATCCCAACACTTCGATTTGCATCGCTGTGACGCTGTGGTTCTGAACCACAGAGGATGTCCAGGATGCACACCCAAGCAGCTATCAACTGGCCATGAGTTGGTGATAGTTGGTGTATCCCATGGTATCCCATCATTCTGAGACAACTGAGACAACTGTCTGGTTTGTTAATGTTTGTTATACATCCCGTAATATCCCTTTTATGCCATAGCTTCAATTTTTATATATTATATACATATATATATATGATATATGTTATTGTCCCACAGTTAGATGGTTGCTTTCGAAAGTTCCCAGAATGAATTCGCCGCGAACTCGCCTTGGGACCGCCTTCGCTTAGTAAGTGTCACCAAGGAAGGAGACACATACTGCGTTGGTGGCCTGCAAGGGCGTTCCACAGATGTTGTCCCGCCACGGGCGACCGGTGCGAAAAGCTGACAGCAGGTGGGACATGTGGGACATGGAGTTACCCTCTGGAAATCTAACATAGCTAGGGAAAATCACTATTTAAAACAGGTAAATCAACTGGAAATGGGCCATTTTGAATAGCTATGTTAGTTTACTGGATGCTAATTAGTTGCCTTTTGGCAATTGAACAGGTTGCTATGGGTAGTCATCATGTTTTATCAGGCATTATATGTTCCAGAGTTATGGTAAATTGTCAGGGGGTAACTGCTTAGTACTTGGGGTACTGTAAATCATAATGTACAAGGTGGTGCCCCATAGTTAGCTAAGTTGGTTTATAAGTCCAATAACTATGGTTTATACGTGTTATATCTATAGTTAATGGGATTATAACCCATTTATAACTGGGGGGGCACCACCTCGTAGGTATGTTTGAATAATATGGGGGATCTGGTTGGTGCTTTCGAACATGAAACTTATTTTTCCATTCAGTTGGCAATGTCATCATCCCAACTGACGAACTCCATCATTTTTCAGAGGGGTAGGTATACCACCAACCAGTATTTCCCAGTCATCATCCATATTTTGATGGTATTTTCCACTATAAACCATCCATATCATCCATTTATAGATGGGGGTAGGTTGAAACCACCAACCAAGTTATTATTAACCATCATGAACCATATAATAACCATATATTAACCATATATTAACCATTATTAACAGTATATTAACCACAATGGTAGGTAGGTATACCACCAACCAGGGGATTGACTTTCTCCGATTGAATTGCCGTTTGGTTGGACACTGACGCCATGGCATCCCATGGCGCAATGGGATGATCGAGATTTGATCTCTTGCCACGGGCTCTGAATTTATGACCCGTGTGTGTTTTATGATGCCGTGTTTCATAGCAACATGTTGTTTATCTATATGCAGATCATCCATTTGAATCTTGACCAAATGTCAATTCGTTTATTCATATTGTTACCCGCAAATGTCAATTTATATCTTGTTGTTGATCTTATCCATTTTATATTTGATCATAGACCTTGAATACGTTCGGAATCCGGATCAGCAAATCTCTGAATGAGGCAATGATGACTCGTCATTCAATCGTTCGCCATCGTTCGCCATCGTTCATGGGAGAAGTCCAGCCCCCAAACCCAAATCATTGACTGTTAATAATTGATTATTATTAACCATCATTAACCATATAATAACCATATATTAACAATTGTTTTACTGTACAATGAGCTATAAACAGGCTATAAATGTTAATGGCTCAACGTTGCTAGTTTACTTGGTTGATCTCTGAGATTTTTGGTGAAATCTCAGTTTTTGATTGATGGAAAATCGCTTGCGTAGGCCATATCTTCCTCCTGATTGCAGGCCATTTCTTAGTTGAAATGCATGGTGTCATGGTTGGAATCTCAAGATTCTTGCTCAAAAAATCCAATGAAAACATCTATAGCTTTGTTGAATGCCATTTTGGGGGGGTCAAACATCGAAATGTTCTTAGTCAAAATCCTTGTTTTCATGGTAAGACACATAATGGTTAAAACTAAAATACAATTTGAAATCAACATATTCTGTTGAGAGTTGATTTTGTCTTGCTTAAATCAAACATATGTAAGACTGGCCTGGTTCAAATCTTATTCGTCTTAACAAACACATATTCTTAGTAAAGAAAACAAAACCAATATTTCCAGAGAAACTTCAACTTTCCGATATGTGTGATGTTAAATGTTCAATTTTGCTGATATATATATATATATATACACATAGAAACTGTTATATCATACATAACATTATATATATATATTGATATGTCATACATAACATATATCTATTTATATATATATAAGATAGAACATACATATAGACACACAATGACACACACACATATATATATATATACCACAATCAATATTAATCCCATAAATCACCAGCTTTTTGGCTGCCCAGGCCGCAGCTGTTACCGGGCGGCTGCTGGGACGTGTGGCGCCCCGGCAGCGCGTTGAGCTCGGCCGCGCCGCGGGTCTTTGCGGCGCCCATGACGGCGGTGTCGCCCAGGTGGCGGGAAGAGGCGCAAGGGGGGAGGACTTTTCTGATGTTTTGGGCTCAACTCTGGTTGGTGGTGACTGGAACATGACTGGATGATTTTTCCATTGGGAATTTCATCATCCCAACTGACGAACTCATATTTTTCAGAGGGGTTGAAACCACCAACCAGAACAAACAGATTAGATTAGATTAGGTTAGATAGAGAATTGATTGATTGATTGATTGATTGATTGATTGATTGATTGATTTGATTGATTGATTGATTGATTGATAGATGTGTTAGACTAAATTGTAAGTTGCAATCAACTCATGGTTATAGTTAACATCACATAATGAATAAATATTTTTGAATTAACTATGAACTAATGGTTATAACTTACATAATTGTTTAAACCTGCATACTTGATAGATGTTATAGTTCCTAAGAACTGACATAGCTCAAAGTTATTGTAAGTTATTAACTACTCTAGTAAGTTATCATTATTGTTAATAAATGTTACTAGTTATTGGCTATTATTGACTAATATACTATTATAACATTACTATATGGGGGGAATGATCCAATCCATAACTAGTAACATCTATTAGCAATTATGTGCTAAACGCAGGTAGTTAACAACCCTAATAATTCTAATAGTGTTCCATAATAGCTATTAGTAATTGGGACAGACAGACCCATTAGCCATTAGGGAATGGGTGACCAATCCAACCCATACGTAAATGCAACAGTATGCAACATTAGCAGAATCATGATCAGTATATTACCCTCTGGTAAATTAACTTGTTGACCCTGAAAATAGCCAATTTTTAATGGAAACTAGTCTTCCAACCCCGACAACTGCCAGGGTCTATGTTAATTTACCAGAGGGTATATAATATCTATTACACTAACAACTATTTCAACGATAATGTCACAGATTGTCACACTTTTCCCATGTCCTAATTCCCTACTAAGCACCAGTAAGAGGATGGAAGATTGGGATAATGGGTTTGAACATTCAGGGGAAAACCATCCACATGTTCATGATCAATATGATCATGTTCGTTCACGTTCAGAAAAATAACATGACTATTTGGAGAAAGATGGGTGGACATACTTTATGGATTTTCTTCGAAATTGAAGCACCATTTTTTTCGCTTTTCGCCGTCAACGTCTACATGTTTTTTTGAGCAATCACCAGGGATTTTGGGATCTGAAATGACGACAACAAAAGCGTGGCTGAATAGGGTGCGGTGCATGTAAGATGTTGTGGGTAGAAAAGAATTATGTAGTTTTTACCAATAAGCATAGGGTCCGGATGGAAATGTTTGGGAAACAGCAGCTTCAATCCAAGGCAGACAAATTGCCTAGGAACTTTCTTTGTGGGACCTGCAATGGTTACTACCCGTCGCATTACTGCCACCCGAACTATGGTCTAAATATATCTCAATGTCCATCTATACGTTGATCGGGGTGTTGCTTGAAATGGGTGTTCACATTTCTGAAAACATGTTTCAGCGCTATGACCTTCCGGTAAATTAGCATAGCTATGGAAATTGGCACATTTATAGTTGATTTACCTATCAATGATGGTGATTTTCCATAGCTATGTTAGTTTACCAGACGCTATGTATATATATATATATACATATATCCATCTATCATAATTTATCCATGGATAGTGCTGGGTTTGCTCCTGATTCCATACATCCATGGCGATCATGACCTCCAGTTTTCCAGGCGGCCAAACTCTTTGACAAGGGCTGGACGCAAGAAGCATCCCAGAAGACGATCCGCTATTTGTGTCGGGGCAATGACTAATCCACTGGGGATCAAATAGGGATCTGGTTGGTGGTTTGGATCAATGGTTAATAATGGTTAATAATGGTTAATAATGATTAATAATGGTTAATAATGGTTAATAATCGTTAATAATGGTTAATAATGGTTAATAATGGGAGAATATATCTGGTTGGTGGTTTGGAACATGTTTTTGTTTCCATTCAGTTGGGAATGGAATAATCATCCCAACTGACTTTCACTCCATGATTTTTCAGAGGGGTAGGTCAAGCACCAACCAGGAATGGATCAAATGATCAAAAGCTCTGCGACATTTGGATTTTCACATCACTGTAGCTATGTAGCAATGTTTTGAGCCATCACCATATGGGTTTAACCATGGAGGATGTTGTTGTTGTTGTAATTGTTGTTGTAAGCGGACGTCAACCTGCTCCTCACCGAAGTGAAGTAGTTAAGACGCCATAGTATGCCATCTGCGAGAATCAAGTTCCCATACTTCTCCAAGCAAAACACAAAAGAAGCGAAACCTGCCTGAAAAAAAGAAGTAAACACAGTGCGCCAGCTAGCATTCCGCAAGGAATGTTTGTTGATCAAGTACGACTTGCCAAAAAGGTAAAGTCCGTAGCCGCTGCAGACGCCAAACTGCTGCAGCCCAAGCCACGGCTCGCTGATGTCGCTGCACAGCCGCAGCGATCATGGAGCGTGAGTCACGCAACACCTCACCTGCCTGAGCATCGGCTGTCGCATTGAGAACGCGGCAGAGATGAACATCAATCCAACCATCTGGTGGTGTCCAGTCAGGCACCTTGTTGTGAGAAGGGATCCAAACGCAAACAGTGCCCTGAATCAATAAGCCGCTGATCCGCTGCCAGAAAAGCGGCAAGTCACCCTCCCAACGGCCAGTGCTAATGCCTCGCTGAAGCCGCCGCACCAAAGCCTGATTGTCAATCAAGAGCATCACCGGTCTGTTAGCTGCAGAAGAGGATACTACAACTGCCATTTGTTCTGCCAAGAAACTGCTGATAAACAAAGAATGACCTAGGGGTACACAATTTTGAGACAAAACCATGTTGTATTATTGGATATGATTGGCATGTTTTGTTAATGTTTTAACCTTCAGCCATAGTTGCGCTCTAGAGTAATCAAACCTGAGTGGTTGGAAAACCGTTCTATGTTTAAATGCCAACCACAAATATCTAATCCCTTTCCACATCAATTTGTTTAACCCCACAAAACCATGGTTTTTCGCAGGGTTTGGGAAGGGATGAAGATGGGATGTCTGCCAGGTTTCGAGGAATTGGGGGATCTGGGGATCCTTAAACCAATCCAAGAAATCCAGGTGCCACCAGATCACCGCGAGCCACCGAAAGTTTGAAAATCAGAAACCACCTGACAAGGTCACCCCCCAAAGATGGGACAATGTGGGACAGGATTTCTTCCTTCACATTTTTTTGTTTGATTTCCATGTTCTACATGGGTTGTAAACCAAGCGACATGAACCATTTCGTGAATCTCGATGAAATCCTCGCTGTGAAGTCGAAAAACCATGGTTCCTCGGAATGGACACCATGCGAGTGTAGGAGGTTTGCTGGAGACTTTGTGACTGAGCTATACCCAATTGGCCCAATTGTATAGGTCTTAATATAGGAAACCATGCTTGGATGGATCAATACTTTGAGTTTGTTCCATACATCCGGAAATGATGTCCAAGTATAGTCAAACAGGGCCAAGATTCACCAGCCCCTCAGGTTGCAATGCGACGAAGATCCCTTGTTTGTACGAGAACAACGTCCTGCACCTAGAGCCGGCCGCGACGTGGGCCGCTGTGTGGCGCTGTTGCGTAGTAGGGTCATAGGGATGGACAGCCATTGGGTTTAAATTTGGTTTACCCTCTGGTAAACATACAAAAAACTATGGAAAATAACCATTTTTAATGGGAAAATCCACTATAAATGGTAATTTTCAATAGCTATGTTAGGTTACCAGAGGGTATAGGGTCAATCAACAATGTGAGACATTGACAGCTCACAGTTTTGCTTGATATATCTTGATATTATCATTGTCAGCAGTCCTTTTTTTGGAAACCTTGGAAACCTGTTCTGATCTCAGTCAGTCCAAGAAGTCTCAAACATGGTAACACGGGGGCTCGAGGCACCTGACAAAATCAACATTTTCAGCAGCAGCGTGCAATGGATTTTTCAACCCTCGCAATGTTTTATGAACATCGCTACTTTGAAAATGGCCACGAAATGCCATGAGGCTGGGGTCCAAAACACACTTTCAATGGTATTTGCAGGGGATTCTGCGCCCCATCATTTTCAAAACTTTATTTGTTTGAGAAGAATTGCTTTTATCGTCAATTTTTCAGTTCCGTGGCCAATAGCTGGAACAAGTCCTTGTCGACATTGTTCTTTCTCCATACATATTGATATGCTTGGCTGAACAGCTGTGGATTGGGCAGGCCATCGATAAGTGTCTTTACACGGCCACAAATGTGCACCATGTCCACAGCTTATCAATTTGCTGCGTTCCAGCAACTCTACTCTGTCCTCGCTTCTTCTGTCTTCGCATTTTGCGAGTGAACTCAGAGCGACAGTGTTTGCGCGTACTTCATGTACATGAACAATAAGGAAACATATCAACTCATGTACCACGAAAAGGGCACAGCGTATCAACACGTATGTCACTTCATGTACATGAACCAAAAGCAAACATCTCAATTCATGTAGCACGTAAAAGTGCACAGCACTTCATTCAATGAAGATGAACCATCAGGAGCGTACTATCAAGAACGTTCTCACCCCTCCACCCCCCGCGAACCCCCCCAACCAACCCCCAGCGTATCAACACCTATGTCACTTCATGAAGATGAACCATAGAGGACCTGGTCGAACATCTCCATGTCACAAGAACAACATGAACCACATTTTCATGTAACACAACATCAATGTAGTAGACGCATGTACAAAGTATAAACATGTGCAAATTATCAGGGGCCCCGAGTCCCCGTGTAACCTCAAACATGACCTGTGGCTTTTTGTGATAACACTATCAACCTAAGGATGCAGCGGAACTACCACAGGAAATACCTTTATAAAAGTTAAACCCAGTGAAAGGAACCATGTTTACATCAGTTTACCTTTGGAGAATTGTACAGACCTTACAAAATTGAGGGTGATTTCACATCTATATTTGGGTTTACCACATTACTACAAGTGGGTGCTACCCTCAGCATTGTTTGGCATAATCTCAGAGGAGTAAGATAACAATATGTTCTATATATGTGTCCATGCAAAATAGCAGATAATACTGTAGCAATCTTCAAAAGATAGAACAATTTAATTCCTACTCACATGTATGTACATATATATAATATGTATATAATTACTTTGTTTTGTGGCTGCTTCTTGGTGATATAGCTTGTTTCAGCTTCGCCCAGGCCGAAAGAAGCACCCAAGTCTGATCCTTTGGTTGCTGTGGCAGGACGGTCTGGTGTTCCTGTGGTGCCCCAACTTGAATCGCTAAGTTGGTTTAGTTTAGTTCATTAGGCTAACTTGATGTATTTATGGTAGATACAAACCCATAATTAGATATAATTAGATGGGTTCAAATAAAACCAACTTATTACTGTATGGTTTAAATCCTAGGTAACCATATGATATTTTTGGGGATGAACGTGCATGTAATTACCAACTATTTCAGTGTGAACAGATGGGCACCAAGGGTTTGACTGTAAAAGTCACCCCCAAAGAACCAATCAGAATTGAGATTCACTTCGGTGGTAAACATATTACTACAGAGAATGGGTGAAGAGTTTGCACCCTGACAACCGTGATCACTGGATTCAGGAACGGTTGCTGGATGTTTCTACCAGTGGGTTGGCGGGTCACAAGTCCCAATGTGCGTCAAAAAGAAAGTTACGTGTTTCTAGGACGGATTTTCCGATTAAATTAAAACCTGCATTTATAATTTATAGTTGAATTTCCCATTAAAACTCATTAAAACCTCCATTTATACTGGACTTTCCTATTACTTCTCCATTTAAACTTTTGTCAGTTCAGGATCAAATTCTTGACAAGTTGCAGGTTTGCTTGGTCTTCCTATCTCTTCAGGAGCCTCGAAATAGACAGAAACGCCCCCTGAACTATTTTTGATATGATATCAATGGGAATTTCAGGATCCTGAAATATAGGCCTTACATATGGTAGGTACCTCCATTTTAAGATCCTGAAATTCCCATTGATGATATGTCCATTTCAATCTTTTGGAGAATTCGCCCCTTTTTCAATCAAAAGCATCTCAGTCGCCGACTCTCGCTCTTACCCTCTGGTAAACTAACATAGCTATTGAAAATGGACATTTATAGTGAGTTTTCCCATTAACAATGGTGATTTTTCATAGCTATGTTAAATTACCAGAGGGTAAAGTCGTCAGGAGTCACCCGCGAAGAAAGGAGAGGTCGGCACCATGCTGTCGGTGGCCATTTTGTCACGTCAGCGCTACACCTCGAAGGGACCAGTGCACCTGCAGGCGCTTATCGCTGTTGGTGAGGAATCTGGTGGAAAATCCAGGCGCTATGTTTGTTGATTTAGCCTCTGGTAAAGCAACATAGCTGGATATTAATATGTTAGTCTACCAGAGGGTATGGATTATTTTTAGATCTGGATTGGTAATGCATGTGGAATGTATATGGATCTCATATGGATGTTATTATGGGTTTATGGATTTTAATGGATTAACACTATGGATTTCTTGTTTACTTGGAACCGCAAATTACCTATAGACACATCTACTATTTTTCTGGAACTACCAATTCAAGGACATGTTTGAGTACATGCCGGATTCACTACCTCGGGTTCAGCTGTTTTTTCCCTAACCATTCTACTCAGGCCTGAGATCATGGGAGGGTCTCCGAAGGGTACATCAATGCCGAAATTTCTGGTGGAAAATAAGTTCCCAACCAGCTGACTGGCTCTTTTTCAGGCCTTGGCTCTCATTGTCAAGGTTTCTGTAAAGATTTATCGAGAGCTGAGTTTCTGAACAACCACTAGCGCAACCTCATTCACAGCCAGGCATTTCTCCTTCCTTTATTCGTACCAATCTCCATCTTGCTGTACATTGGCCCAGTTTGGTTTGTCATGGCATGGGGTAATGTCGATTATACCGATAGACACACATGTTTTTGAGAGGAAACAATATCAAAAATCTATATAATACGGTGTATATATATAATTATATTATATACATGGGAAAATATTGATGGAGAAATCCAGTAATTTTTGGGTACCCTCCAGTAATCGTGGCAATGGAAAATACCCATACCCATTTATAGATGATTTTCCCGGCTATAAACCTCTATTTAGTTCGGGGATTTCCCATTGTCACGTTTGATTTTCCACCAAGAGTTACAGACAAAATCCACTCATTACCATTAGCCACCATTAATCACCATTAATCTTCATTATCCACATCACTATCATTAACCATTAGTGTTTATTAAGAATAATATTAAATGATAGATCATGGACGAATAGTGATATTAATACAGTAGTGACTAGTTGCCAGTGTGAAGAATATCACTACTAGTTATAATTAACGACTATTAATATCACAAAAAAAACACTAAATTAACCGTATTAATATCACTAGTTAACCACTAATTAACCACTTTTCATATCACTGTTTGTTAATATGAATATCCCACAATGTGAGGCCCCCAAGATAGCTAAGTTGGTTTATAACTCCAATAACTATAGTTTATGGTACTTATAACTATTGGGGCTTATAAACCAACTTATAACTGGGGGGGGCCTCACATTGTATGAATATCCCACTATTAACCATGAATTTTCACCACTTTCGAAGCCGCCAAACAAATCCGTTCGCAGCTCCAGCTCCAGGGCGGCATGGTCTTGGAGTACATCTCCGTTGAACCCGGCACCGGGGCCAAGGTGAACACCTGGGAAGTGCTTCCATGGAAAGAATGGATCAGAGAATTTTAATGTGTACCCTCCAGTAAACTAACATAGCTATGGAAAATGGACCATTTATAGTGGATTTAACCATTAAAAATGGTGATTTTCCATAGCTATGTTAAATTACCGGAGGGTAAATGAAATTATGGATGATAATTTTATCCAATGTTTCTGATGTGTTTCATCAAATACTGGAAATAAATGGATGTTTTCTTCTAAATCTGATGTGTTGTTTGCAACATGTTTGGCTGGATAATTTTGCAAAGGGTCATCAGGATGTCATTCCCCAAGATATTCTGCAAGGCATCATCTCGTGACCCTAGTGCCTGGAGATTTCTTCATCCGTTCTTTTCCTTTTGTGCCCCATGTCAAGACTGGTGATGTTCCCAATTGACATCCATTGTCGTGTTAGATGCCAGCTATCACCTTCCACCTGGATATCGAAAGGCAGCATCTCAGAGTGCCAGCTTTGCAGAAGTCATCATGTTGGGTGGCTATTTCTTGGGACTGGTAGGCTGATCCCCCGAAAACTCGGCAGGCGTATTGGCTGGTACAGGCTGCTGAGGAGGCAGGGGGGTTTCGGTTTCGGAGGGAACTTCGATCGGTTCATTGGTTCGATTATGAGTAACCCCCAAAAAAGATATATAGGAAAATGGAGAGTTATCATAAGTTATCACCATAGAATAGTGGACATTTGACCAACTTCTATCTTGTTGAGAGGTTAATACAGTCAGCTTCATTATAACTGAGCGGTCATCCGGTCAACCTCAGTTGTTATTTTTGTTTTAAGGCTTGAACTTGCGTGCTAAGTGGGATGAAGCACCAAATATTCAAACATCAATTTTGGGGTACTGAGCATGGTTCAACACCAACATTTGAGTTGGTGTTCAACACCCCCCCTGTAGGCGAATGTATGTAGGTATTTATTCTGTAACTCACAAGAAGTGGTTGGTGGCTTGATATTGCATGTTCCATCCTATTTGATATCCATATCCCCGCATCGAGAATGTTTGCATTTTAGTCTGGATAACACTCTGCCAGGTTTGACCCTCACAACTCATCAGACTAGTTAGATACGAATTAGTTTGTTGTTGGCAAAATCCGTAATCTCTGACGGTGTCTGACAGTGATAATCCAAATCTTTTGACGCTTAGATCCCACATAAGTTTAGTGACTTGGATAGGTAAAAACCAACATTTTTTGATGGCTCAACCCTCACGTTCCATCATGTTCCTGTTCATTATTGATTAGTCACCATCAACTGATGTTGTCATAATTGACAGTTTCCTGTTCATTTTTTTTTATCCAACCAATTTCATTATTAACCATTATAAACAAGTATTAACCATTATTACCCGGGAAAAAAAACAACTAACATAGATGTGGAAAACCTACGGTTTCCTTCGGAAAATGATCTACCAATGATGTTTTTTCTTCCATATCTATGTTACTTTACCCTATGAGGTAAATATGATTAATTCATTATTCACCATCGTTGACCATGATTACCCTCTGGTAAACGTTTACATAACTATGAAAAAACACCATGCTATTAATGGGTAAATCCACTATAAATGGCCATTTTCAATAGCTATGTAAGTTTACCAGAGGGTAACCATGATTATCCATCCGTTCCTACCACAAAACATGGCAGACATGGCAGATCGATAGATCCTACGTCAACCGTTGAGGTGGCTTTACTGATGGGCCACAGCGAGCTCTTCAGTGCCTGCGACCTTAACCAACGTGTGGAGACTCAGCTACCGGAGAAATGGCTTGAGAAATGACATGAAGTCCATAGAAATTATGTGAAAATATGACTATGATAACTATTATCCATTAATAGTATTAGTCATATTAGTTATCATATTAGCTATCCAAATTACTATGATGAATAACTATGATGGACCATAATTATCTATGAGCTATCCAAAACCGTTTCCTTGAAGTCTTATTATTTATGTTTTTATGTATGTTTTCCCTGTGCATGCTAATTTGTTTTTGGTGAAGCAACAAGGGGTCCATCAACCCTGGTGGTTCATTCGTCTCATTAGTGGACTACCCTTAGATTTCCATGAAGCAATGGGGTGCCCCCCATAATACTGATATAAATTCCTTCAAAACGATATTAATCCTTTGATCATAGGATTAGGATAAAATATGTTATGTTCGGTTTAAACTATGTTTATTCTGGTTTATTTGTTGCAATTTTAGGGTTCCATGAAAGATTGTTGAACCCATCATCAGGATTGAACTCGGAAAACATGGGGATGTTGCCAATAAAATTTGCGGTTGGGTCTTCACATGTGTGTTTCCAAGTATTGGCGACACCCAAACATGTGAGATGTCCAAGCCTGGTGGACGGGTTTAGGATTCTTGTGGGTTACATAGTTATATTATTTATTCATGTTCTTTTAAAATGTTATATCATATATCTCCTGATTCTGAATTCTATATGTGAAGCAGCGATGGAGGAGGATTTCCCATACTCAGTTCAAGAGAAAACTCATCGTTCCATTTTCAAGAAACACTCAGAAACCTTGCAATGTGTACCCTATGGTTATTTAACATAGCCATGGAAAATGGCCCATTTATAGTTGGTTTACCTATTAAAAATTGTGATTTTCCATGGCTATGTTAAATAACCAGATGGTAACTTGGGTGCATTTGACCCGTTTTGGGGTGAATGCAACTAATATCAAAAGGGAATGGTTCAGAGAGTCTCAGTCCCATAGCTGGCTATCATGGGATCATCATGGGTTCATCTCAGTCCCACCAGTCCCAGCCCCTGCAGAACCAGATCTTCTCCAAGGTGGTAAAGCCTTCGAGGGGCGGGCCAAACCCGCCTTGGAAGCGCATCGCAGATGGGGCTTTGAGGATCTCCCCCCTGGTTTTTTTGTTGGGTGTTTGCCCTGTATAATCCGGGGTTGACATGATCTCACTGCAACATACCCTTTGGTAACATAGCGAACATGGCCTATTTTGATAGTTGAGTTACCAAAAAAAATCCATGATCTTCCATTGATCGGATTTTTTTTGGGGGATTTCCAGATTTGATAGGTTTCAAGGCAAGTCAGTCCCGGCTGTGCTATCTACATCTATCTACCCTCTGGTAAATTAACTTGTGGACCCTGAAAATCACAGATTTTTAGAGGAATTTCTAATCTGAACCAACCCCGATGACTGCCAGGGTCGTCATGTTAATTTACTGTAGAGTATAGCTTGTACCGCAACTATGACCGTCAATTATTTGTGCTTTGATGATCTGATTAAAAAAAAGGGTGATCCCGTGTTTCGAATCATAGCCGCACTCATAGCCCATAGTGGAAAGGTTACCCTCCAGAAAATTAACATGGCGATCCTACCAGATAGGATTTTGAAGATTGGTTTCAACTAAAAAGATGTGATTTTCAGGGTCTATGTTGATTTACCAGAGGGTATAATTCCAGTAATTTCTTAGTTTCCCCTCACCTCGCAGGACACAGATCAGAAAGAGTGGACGGACAGGCGCTTTGAAGTTTACTCTGCGGGATGCAGCGTTCGCTACATGGTCAAGATCGTTGGCCGTTAATGTGATGCACCAAAAAATCTGACGTATTCTAAGCATTTATACATGTTGATGTTTTGGTTGGTAACTTGAATCTATACTTCCAATATCTTCAAATACTAGTGACGCTCTATGTCTGACGCTGAAGTATTGATTGGTCGTGGACCTTAGACAGCTGAAGTTGCTCATATCAAGTTTGAAGTAAGAAGCATCTGATCATATCTGATCACTGATTGGTGGTTTGGAACATGGCTGGATTATGACTTTCCATATATTGGGAATGTCATCATCCCAACTGACGAACTCCATCATTTTTCAGAGGGGTAGGTATACCACCAACCGGATCATATCTGATCATTTGTATTCATTTGTCTGTTTGGAGTACGATCAGAAAATTCAGAGGCTGCAGCCAAGAATCGCTTGGCCACCTGCCAACTGTTGGCCCTTTCGGTGCACAGCCTGTGCTGCCGCGACGACTTTTTTCTGCCTTGGGGGAAGGCAAAGCTGTGACCTGAAACCTGGCCATTGGATGTTGGTCGGCGCAAGCTGGGATGATGCCTTGATCCATTGATGTACATGGCTAATCATGGCTATAGATGCTATGGAATTCCCGCAAAAATGGGTCGGTTGGTCCAAAAATACGTGACCCGATGATTTCATGATAAAGCTGATAAAGCATAGGATTTTGGGCAGCCTATTTTCAGACAAGCGGACCTTTATACTTAGTGTTTTTTGGGGCAGCCAATTTTGACACAAAAAACTGCAGCAAAGTCCTCCAAGTGGACGATGTTTTCAAATATCATCCCAGTGGGTTTAACCGACGTGGTGTGGTGAAAACCAACCTCCACGTGTGGGGTTTTCTCATGGGCATCAGATGAGATCGCGAAAATCCAGGGGCGCTTTGAGCGGTTTGGGGGGCAGGGTGCGGTGAAAGCTCTCTGAAAGACCTGGGCCTTTGGAACTTGGAACTTCTTGGAGAAGAGAATCAAAGACCCTGTGGTTTTTGAAGATTTCGGACACCTGTTTTGGACAGTCAGCGACAGTCAGCCCTATTTTCACGGGGTGTCCATCTGGGGATGCCAGGGGAAGCAAGAAGCTACAGCTGACAGGTGCAACACTTGGTGCTGGTTCTCATGGACTTGGCCCAATTTACCCCCATGAAATGTGTGGCGAAAAATGGGGGAAACGCCCGAAGTCGTGCCAAAGAATTCAGATTGGGCGAAGCATTTTTCTGGCTTGAAAAATACGATGATGGCAGACTGGCAGACCCCCAATGACCCCCAATGAATTCGCTAGCCGCTAGAATGTGTTTGAAAGATGACTGGTTAAGTGTATTTGGTATTCCCCTTGTCATAGTTCCCTGAAAAAAAGGGGTTCCTGACATTCCAAAGTGCTAACTTCAACTGCCACTGAAAAACCATGGTTAGTTGAATGTACGTTTGGGACACTTTTTATTGGTTGATGGTTTCATACCCTCTGGTAAACTGTCACATAACTATGGAAAATCACCATGTTCAATGGGAAAATCCACTATAAATGGGCCATTTTCCATAGTTATATTAAATTACCAGAGGGTAACATGTCATGGCCCCCAATTTGGGATGATCCCCGAAATGGCCATGGCCCACATGTGGGCCATGACTTTCACATTTTTGAAAAGTGGCGCAACCACTTGGCGCACAACTGGCCCGGCCGTGGTTGTAGGAGGAAGGGCCTATGGTTGGGTCAATGGCAAGATCTTTTTTGATGTGGAAATTCTGGAGCAGTCAAGTAGTGTGCATCTCCTTGTGCCAGAAAATCATGTGGGCTCAATTAGGTATAGGATTCATGGGAGTCCTTTTTCCTCGTGCTCGTTGATTACAAATAGAAGGGCAGCCAACCTTGAACAACCACTAGGTCTGTGATGGTTAACTTTATTGGCATCCGTCCGAAGCAACAGCTCTTTTTTCAAATTCCGTACCACTTAAAATTATGGTGAAATTATGGAGGCTTGTAGCCTGGTTGCTGGTTTTGAATATGTTCTCTTTTTCATTCCTGAAATGTGGCGGCCTGATTTGATCCTCGACTTGGCCCAAACTTCATCCAGGTTCCTCAGTGATTTGGAGTTACCCATCAGGGGCAAGAAGGCGAGTTTTCTGGGAGGATCTGTTGGGTTGCTATAGATGGCTTAGTATCTGAAATGGCCAAAGGCCCCAAAGATGGCTTAGACTTTTCAGACCGACTTGATATGTCTTGATTTGAAATAAACAACTGAATCGATGGTTGGTATATTGAAATGGTGATTCGCAGGGTTGGGTGATGTTCCATCGCGCATGTGCAACTACTGTGTGAGTGTGTGTGGCTTGGGTGATGTTCCAATGACATATTTCACCACCCTTGGTTGCTTGGTTGACCTAAGCACTGCAATCTGCTGGTAAGCAGGTCCAATCCCCTTGGAACTGGTAAGTAAGCTACTTACCTACGAAGTCTTCTGTGGAATCAAAGCTTCTATTTGATTCTATTTGTATGTATTTGTAAAGACACTATGGCTACATATGGTTACAAGATGTTGCAAGTGATTTTTGTTTTCCAAAGGAACGAGCATTTTTGGAAGATATTTCCCCATTACGAAGCCATCGTTTTTGCCCAGTCGTGCAACTCTCAGGTCCCCCGTGACATCGACATACATCGATCCCAGGGATCTTTAGACTCGACAATTGTGATGGAAAATCACCATCGTTCACTACGGTAAATCATGTGTACATGGGCCATTTTCCAGAGTTCACTCCCTGCTGCACCGAATCATCTTGATGTTCCCTTCGAGCAGCGATCGAAGATGATCAGGCATGCATCCACTTACTTCTCTCCCTGCAGTTAGTTTTTTGGATTAATTAATTTGTTATAAATTGTGCAGAATGTGTGCAAGGGATACGAATCAACTGATCCCTCGCATGCCCAACGACGCTTGGGACAAAACCGAAAAGCCGAAAATCCAGTGGAGCTAAGGAGCTATGGGTATTCATATTCCCTATTAGATGGGGAGCTAAGGAGCTACCAAGAGGTTCCCAACCACATACTAGAAAATTACCAGAGGGATCCAGAGGGTAACTAAAATTTGAAATGTGCCCTTCGGTTTGAAGCCGACAAGTAGTAGGGCCACTCTCATTACACCTATGTCCTTTGTGCCGACGGAATCCTCATCATATTGCAACCAGTTTCTCCACGAATTTTGCATTCTCTCTCGGTGCATCCACCATTTTCAGACACACCCAATTATCAACAATTATGCATTGTTTGTTATCTCTCATTTTTTCTTGGTTAGTTAATCCCTTCCCCATCTTCCCCCTTTTCCTAAGCACCATTAAACACCCCCCAGAAACCATGGGTTAATAGGTGATGAAATGATGAAAGCACCGATTTGGGACCATAGAATTGGGATGTTCAATCTGAGTGATGGGATTTCCCACGTGATCTCCCTCTGATCTCCCGCATTGTACACCGCAGGGCACACGCCGCCTGGGTCCCGTGCTTTCGCGCCGCTGGGTTGCAATGGATTTAAGCATCCTGTGCCCCAAAACCTGTGGATTTGCAATAGATTTTCCCATATTTTCGCTCGTGATTTGTGAAATTGCTGGGTTCAGAGAAACCCACCATTGACATGCCATTTTCTCTGACATTCCTGGGTGTTTTACTTTGCTTTCGTTGCAGCTACATTGCTACATTTTTTTGCTGGGTAAATTGAGGGTTGAACTCGCCAAACTAACCACCGCTTTCTCAACCAGTTGTGATGCAGATCCTGTGGAAGGTGTTTTTTGACATGGCGATGGAAGTGATGGAACCCCAATTTATTGCCATGGGTAAAATGGATGTGGAACAATAATATAGAATATTGATCTATAGATATCCATTATAAACGGTAACAGTTATATTGCCAATTCTATCTATGGATGTAAAATTTTGATATAATGGGTGTATAGAATAAGTATATGAATCTACAATCGCGAGTGGAATGGGCTTGTTTGCCGGAAGAATGTTCAATGTTCAGTTTTTTGAGGTCTTGTTTGCTTCAACTACATCGATAAGCACAATCCATCCGGGGGGGTCCTTAACTTTTGCCCCATACACATCTCCAGGAACATCAATATCCACAGGTTGATGAAGCTGTTCTGCTACTTGAGATGGCCAAATCCAGCATAATTTCAATAATGGTCTTGTTGAAAGGTTGGATCTTGATGTGTCTATTTCTTGCTGTATTTTGATAGAGTAGATCCGCATATGTTCCAATAGTTTCTCATGTTTGATCCAGTCGTTCTCATCATTTTCCAACGTATGCGTATATGTACGTATGTGTAATATAATATCTATGCACGTTCTTGCTGAATACCACCAACATGTGATTATTTGGGGAACCATGTCTACATACTATTCTGCTTGGTGGTGACAGTGTTTTGAATGTTCAAACATAGAAATGAGATGATGATCCCCTTGATATCCCCTGGGGATATCCCCTTCGTAATCAAAGAAATATGTTTTTGTTGGTTCAGTCATCCACCCCCAAAAAAAAACAAAAAAAAAACGAGCCGCTCGAAGAGGTCGCTTGTTCACCCTCTTCCATCCCTATGCTTCCAGTGATCAGCTCATCGCATGAGCTCAGCAGCTCAGCAGCGAGCGTTTTCTGGTCACGAGGCTGAGGAAACCACCATTAATATATGGAGTATAGCATCAAGAATGGAACTATTCCCATGGTATATCCCATTCTATATACATCTTAAGATGGGAATATCTATGGGAATATAGATATATAGCCAATTAAGATGTGGATAGAATAGGAACACAAAACCACCAACATACCACCATTAAGATGGTGCTAGAACCAAAGAAGATATGATTGATGGCTGAAACCACTGACCAGCTCAAGGTCTGATTTAGCCAATTTAGCCACTAGATATTGGGCGGAACCCTGGCATGTCCATTAAACGTTGCAATGATTGTGCCGCTAAGAGATATTGAGATTATGTTTGGTCAAATTCAACATGATTTTACGGATGTATGTTTGATTATTTACACAACACGTATCCACTATGCTCGAATAAATTGTTGATTCTGTTCGCAGTTTTTTGTTGTTTGCGAGGCGAGTCTGCACACGACACAACCGGAACGACAGTGTGCCACTCCGAGAACTGATTGTCCCAATCCAATCTGGTGGGCTAATCAGATGAATTGGATTAATATCAACCCACATGAATATCAACCCCTAAATTGGATTGACATTTACTGGGCTAATTAATCCAACTTACAGTAATGTCAACCCCAGATGAATATCAAATATATATAATATCAACCCCTGGGCTGTTGATCATGGGGTCGGTTCCCAAATGAACCAGGGCCGCCCTGCATTTCTTAAGCAGAACCTCGGGGACCAGAGCTGGATGCTCGATGATGTAGCCTTAGAAATAGAATAACATGATATAACATGTGCATTTGCAACGTTGAACATGGTGATATAAAATGAATCAACAAACATCATTCACCGTATTCACCAGACAAAGGATGGGCTCAACTCGCCTTGCAAAATTCAAGAGATGTGCCAAGATCAAAGTTTCGGTTTGGGAAGGGCTGCGCGCGCCAGTTCCAGTCATTGCTCTACTTTGACGCTTTCTCACGGACGTGCCAAGGTTTTCACAGAGAAACTGCAGGCTATCTCCAGTAACCCACCATAGCTATGGCAAATGGCCCGTTTAGAGATGATTTGCCAAGAAAGAGCATGGTGATGGTCCATAGCTATGTCAAATTACCATAGGCTATCGCTAAAGACTGGTGACTCCCAGCTGATGGGGTTGAACTGAGAACATGATATACTGTTAAATGTGCAGGAAACCATGGTTTCTACCGTCCAAATGCTAGGGACTCTTGTATAGTTATTTCCCTTCAAGCAAGGCCTGGCGTCTGACTTGGGGGAAAGATCCCAGGATGGCCAACACGAGTCTCGACCAGCAATCGCTGTTGAACCAAAGGATGACATCAGTTGCACATGTTACGTAGGTTAGTCATGGTTAGTCTAGGTCCGAGCCTGACCCTGGGCTGACTCAAGACTCAAGCATGTACAGGTACTGACAGGTACTGAATGTTTTGGTGGCTTCTCCGTATTACCTGGGAATTCCAGAACCTTTAGATATTCTTCAAATTTTCAGACACACTGTGAGAGTCTTCGTCCACATTTGGAGTTCTACTTGGGCTGCACTTGGATGTACTTTTTGCGGGTACACAGTATACAGAGTATCGGTCCAACCATAATTTAGAAGTTATCAATTCCCATTGACTCCCATAAATTGAACCATAGCCCTCCTCGATTCTGGCCATCGATTCTAAGTTTCTAGCTTTTCTAGCACCTGGCTGTGCGCAACCCTTGGGAGCCAAAGTAGCTGTGTGCTGATGTACTCGAGACTGTGCCGTCGAGAAACGGGGAATTTCGACAGAACAGGCTGAGAGGTTTGCTTAAAGCCCCAGAATGTTACACACCCTGATTGCCAGTATGAATTGGAATAGTATGAAGCTGGAATAGTATGTTCATTGGATCTTCATTGGAGTTTCGTTGATGCTGCACTGTTTTGAACGTGGTCTGCTCTCGCATCATTGTTACAGCTCATCTACGGTTCTCCATCCCGTGGGCCATATCCAGGCCTTTTACAAAGATCTTTTCCAAGTTGCTCTATTGGTTTTCAGATCCTAAATGGTTGATATTGATTGATGATGTCATTTCGAGGTTCAAATAGAAAAGTGATGAACAGTTGCCCCATGTTTTGCGAAGGTCGGATAATGAACAATGATCCATTGGGGTTGAACGGTTGGCCGAGGGTAGCTCATCCACCAAACTAGAGAACATGTGGACGTGTAGGACTTTGAAGTTCTGCGGTTATTTTGAAATGTTTTGACCACGAAAGATGTTGTTCACTCATTTGCAGTGTTGATTCGTGCTCCTTCAAGCCCTGCGAGCACTTGGGTCATCAAACTTGACATCCGGTAAAATCTCAGTTCAGGATTCCGGACAAACTGAGTGGTGAATGTGGTAGAAAATAGTGCTTCATTTTCGGTCATGTTGATGGGGAAAGAGTTGATCTCCGGGTCAAACATGACTTTGTTGTAGGCCATGGAGAGCCACCATCACTGCAGCTGGATTCCACCAAAATCAAGCGACTTGGAAGATAAACCTGGAAGAGCACCAACCCAAGTTGGCCTTACACTGCCATCCAAGACTGCGGAAGAAACCCTGGTTTTTTTCTTGGATGTTTCCCTAGTTTCATGTCGCTTTCTTGGAGAGTTCCAAATAATTCCTGATCGTAAAATGCAGCATCCAATTTGTGGGACTTGTGACATGACTTTCGTACCCAAATCGATCAAAGTGTGGAATTGTTCAAAAGCAAATGCTTAGGCTCAGTTTTCTCACTTGTTTTGAATGCATTTGACTATAGGCACCCAGACATTCAAGCCATGCAACTCGAACATCAATTCAGATCTGGTTTTGGTGGCATTTTGACAATGGAATCCCTACGACATCATAGGTGTTGACAGAATCAACTCACAAGTTTCATTGACATTCCACTGGCCTGGATGCGGCGCCGACGCATGCCTTATGCCTGTGCCACCTGATGTGGTCGGTGAGAGGCAGGCTTTTTCATGGAGCCGGGCGACGGAAATTCGGGCAACTTGTGGTATCCCAAAAACTATCCCATAGGATCCATGTGTGCTATATATGGTAACATTATGTAACATTTACCATCAATATACATCAATATACCCCCAATGTTAGTATATATACCATACATGGATCCTATGGGTATGTTCCACTTGTTTCACGAAGACCACGAATGGATATGATGTGTACATAAATGGAGTCCCGCATTTGAAGAAACCACAAAACCACAACTCTGGAAAGTGCAAAATAATAATAAAGGGTCTAAAGCACACCTCAATCATTGGGCTATGTTACCGATCCACTGTCAAGTATCGGTACTACATGACAGCCTAGGACAACCTTCCACTTGGCAATACTTTCTGTGAGGAGTACAACCAGGAGAAGCAGTTAAATTTCACATGGTTTAACGTGTGACTTGTGCATTGCTACTGGGATGCCTCAGACCCCCATGTATTCAATGACGAATGACAAGTGGTTCTGGATAGGTTTCTTGTCGTCCATTTCTGCTTTCCATGGTGGTCCTCAATCCACAGTCGTGTCTACCAATCTGCAGTGTTTGCTGCATGTGCAAAATTTGGCGACCTCAAACGACCTGGCAGTGAATGATGGTTTATAATAGTTGGAAACCAGACATTTTATTACCTGAAATGAGACTTGGCAGTTTGTCATATATTATATATTAAATTATATTATATATTATTATCCTCCCCTTATCAATCATGGCAATGCAAGTCGCTAGAACATGGAATTTAAGGGGAACATCATCTAGTCATTATGAGTCTACGCATGATTTGTCCATTGCCAGGCCAGGTTACTGAAGGCAAGGTTAGATTATAGATTATTAGAATTTATTAGAAGGCATCCTGATTATCCATGGTTTGGATTAAACGTTTAGAGGAAACGCCTAGATTTCATCGGAAAAGCCATATGTTTTCCTGTAGATTTATCCTTGATTGAACCAATCCATTGAGATTAAGACCACCAGCAAGGCCAAAGACAAGGCTGCGCCATGCGTGCGTTGTTGTACAGGAGCTGGGGGCGAGATACCTTGGGCTGAGAGGGGTCAGTATGGAAAACTTCCCTTGAAAATTCCTGAAATGGGTAATCTTATGATGGAATCTTCTTTTAAGAAGAAATATCATGAAATATTGCCTTATAACTCTCGTTACATGAATGTACTAAAGCAGGGTTTTGTTTGTTGAGGTGGTTTCTTGCGCGGGGCAACGGGGCTGTGGCTCAAAATTGGGTACCTGAAGAATGGACATTCAATGACCTGAACCGGTGGGACTGGGTAAATGCTTGACTGGTAGCTATTCTATCATCCATCCCATATTATATTGTGTAGCGATTGATACCCGTTCAATTTGGATTCCAGTACGTTGAGTTGCTATTCAAAGATATTTAAGCCACGCAAATAGTTCAATATACATATTATATATATATAATGTATATTATATAGGAGTGAAAAGCATGAATATCCTATCCAACACAACATGCACGGTTTTGAACCCTACAGCCGCATGCACTTTTTCGCCTCCCAGGCGACTCGGCCGAAGCATGGCAACCGCCATTGCAACACCAGGCGGCTGGGAATGCCTACCAGGCTGCTGGTGCTTTGGGGAGAGCTGGAAAATTCCCGAAAATTCAAAATGCATAAAACAATCATAAAACATGCCGGTTCACTATAATTCAATAACTTCAACACTCTGAAATTCTGAAATTCTAGTGGATATATGTGGATATATCTACCAGTTGTAGTGAATATATCAACCCATAATCCCAATACTGATTGGTGGTTTGGAACATTTCTTATTTTCCATTTCATATATGGGATGTCATCCTTTCCATTGACGAACTCATATTTTTCAAGATGGTTATTGCACCACCAACCAGAATATCATAGAATATCCAAGAATATCCATCATAACTATGGAAAATCACCATTTTTTATAGGTAAACCATCTATTTCTATGGGCCATCTATACCATGGTTATTTATGTAGAAATGATTCCCCCTAGGCCCATAATCCAATAAAATTGGTCTATCTCCCAGTTTTTTTATTTCCAACATCGCCTGAGAGGCCGATCTCGAAACGAGGCTTCCGAGGCCGCGCAAGCGGCTGGATGTGGCTGGGTACCGTGGGCCCGGTAAATTCTGATAGGTTTCGGTGGGTTTATATATGGTGGGTAGATGTGGGTAGCCATTATTGATTCTTTATGTCGTTTTATGGTTTTATATGATTTTATATGTAGTTCTTTTGGGATGGGAACCGCAACTTTGTTTTATGGTGGATGGCCTGTAGTTGATTGGGAAAAACTATGACAACCTCTATCTTGTGGGAATTCTGCAATGTTGGTCAGAACCATTATGATTATAAAGGCACAAACCAAGTCCAGCTTGGTTTGGCGTGGTCTGTATACACACAGATATACCGCATACCTGGGCATCTACCAACCACGTGCAAGAGCGGCAATCGCTTCTCTATGTCAACGTATATGTTCATTGAGAATGTGCGGCAGTGTTATAACCAAACCTCACACTGCGGTGGCCATGGGAGCAATCACAAACGATGTTGAGACCCCTGACTGTTGGAATTGTTGCTCAAATTTTGCTTCAGAGTAGAAGAAGGCCCCAGAGCCTCAATCGTTTCACAAACATAAACTACGGATACTTTGCTTGGTGGTGAATGCTCTTGACTCTCGCGTGTACAACCCCATTCTATGTTTGGCGGAAGGTATGCCTCTGTTTTTTCTCTTGCGTCTTGACTCTTGACTTTCTGTTCTGGTTTCTTGCTCTTGCCGCTTGCTTTCTGCTAGCAGCCCTGTTGTTTCTCATAAGCCTGTTTTTCCTCCTTTTTCTTCCTCTTCCCTCTAAGAAGGCGTTTTCTGACGTGTTTTTTGGACATTGTCTGCAAAGAAACATGAATTAGTGCAAACAGCAGTCTAAACTGTTAGTTTCTTCTATTTCCAAAACCTGGACAAACATGTATATGTTCATATTTAGAATATATATATATATGTTTAGAACATATGTTTTGAACCATGCTGTGCTTCACAGAAGAAAAAAGACGGTGCCTGGGAGGCGATGATCTCCGCTGACCTGATGCGTCAGCCGTCTCTTGGTGATGGATTGACGGAGATTTTAAGGGCGGACATGGGGAAAAAAGCCAAGTTTTCCAATGGAGATTGTAGGAAGATTATACTGATTATACTATGGTTTATAGGGATGATAATGGGAAATGGTACTATGTTAATTTATAGGGATGACTGCCAGGGTCTATGTTAATTTACCAGAGGGTACTGATTATACTAGCAGTTGTTTCAACCTATGGGTAAATGATAATTAGCAAGGGAGGTAATTGGCAATTCGAGAGAATTGCCAATGTTTGTTCCCCTTTTCTACCTGCGGGGGTTTGGAGCACCCTGTTGTTCTACATAAATCCTGCAAGGTTCCTGTTTCTTGGTAGTAGTGGTCAATCAAAACAGTTGTTGTTATGGGGTAGTGTTTTACAGATTTTGAGACATTTGTATACATATGTGTAGTATCTTGTTACCCATGCATTCCATTCATTTTCTTTTGGGTAATTTGGAACATATCCTATCATGTATCTCTGCCACCTGTCCACACTGTAATATTTGCCACTTTTGACATCGGAGATGAAGACATTGTATGAGGATGAATGCAGCAAGTGATGCATATCACACACATATTCACTGGTAGGCGGTTTCATGCAACGGCTGGGGACACAACTCGCGGGCAAGTTGTGGGTGCTGGATGCATGAATGGCGGGTCTGGTCCTGCCGCAGGTTGCCAAGCAGTCAACAATAGATGGAGCTTCAATAAAGCTGAACATATTGAACATCCTGCCCAGAACAGAAACCGCACAGAATGGGGAATGTCAATCTAAAATAATCTAAACCCACTGGTGCTTCATGCAAGTTTGCAGCCTGGGTTCAAAACTGAGGATCAGCCTGAAGCACGTGCGCGAGTTGGTGTCCACCGAGAGAACCACCACTTTGAAGTGGGGACAGGGGAAGGTGCGCGGGCAGCTGAGCAGAGGTACCCAGGTATCGATGGAGTGACGCAGAACCAGCCATGAAGGGTCCGTTGGTTTGTTCCACCCACAAGAATGATCAATCATGGGGGTTAGACTGACATCATAGTGATACATGAGTGGCTCATATACAGTAGATAATATGTTTGTGTATATATATATACAATTATATATACACACATACATATACCTTGAGAACCCAAACCCGCAGAAATCCCAGGGTGTCAAAAATAACCAGGGTTTTCCGACAAAACCGGAGGTATTTTTACCCATTCTGAAAGTACGAGTTAGGTACGGGTTAGTACGGGTTAAGTACGGGCTAGGTACGGGTTGGGTACGGGTTAAGTATAGATTGAAAATCAATACCCGAGGTCTTCAATCGAAAGCCAAGGTTTTCTATTTTTTTTTCTGAAATACCTCAGGTTCTTGTATTGACCCAAAGAATTCTTAGGGTTTGGGTGCTCCAGGTATATATAAGTATATATAATTATATATATTTATATACATGGACATAATTATACATACTATGTCAGAAACCCATCTTTTGTTCTGAATGAAGGGATAGCTATTGTCAATGTCCTCGGGATGATCTTTTACATGTCGAGATGGATTTGCCATTGCGAGTCTCAATGGGTTTTTACAATTCAGATCCTTTCAACATACCAACCTTTATCATTATTCTTGCTTGGCTGTGGCTTAGAATTGTTGACCCATAATATTGAGCCCAAATATTGTTGCATTGTGCTGCATTAGTTTGTTAAAACAGCAGAACTTGTGGTATTGTTTGGTCCAACTGGTACCCCGGTTTTAACCAAGTTCGATCAGATCGTATCTCCCTGTGTAGGTGCTTCAACATCAACTTTTTTCCTATCCTTGTTTGTCTCAAAATCAAGCAAACCTAAGACCTCAAGGCCAATTATTTTTTTCTCCATGCAGAATGGTTGTAAACATGTTGTTTTTACTGCTGTATCCACACATTCTTTTGCAGGAACATCCCATGTGGCCTCTATCATGTTGTATCATATTCCAATCATTTCAATGAAAATCCCAAGATTTTTCCACAATTCCACAGATGTTTCATGTGTTTTTGCATATGTCCATCATCACATCCCCATCAAAGCCCTGTAGGTCCTGGTCTGCTGCGGCCTTGAAGCGGTTGGTGGCTCTGAACCCGAGGCTACAGCGGTGTTTCTGGCCGAAGGCTGCGTGGTGTGTTGGCAAAGCTCCGACGCACAGAGGAGGGGGGAGCTGTGTTGCAGGAGGATGTGGGGAAGATCAACTTAGAATTACATAGTTCATCAGATTTCTATAGACAGTTCTATGGATAGTATTTATAGATAAACAGTTCGATATATATATATATATATGATTCATAAATCAAACATAATAAAACACAATTATTTATTTATGCATCATTGTAGATAATTTGTTTTCAACATGTTTAGTGTCTATGGGTATGTTTCATCTTTCTTGTGGTGACTGAGATATTGGAATATAGCACAACATCAGACAATCCCAGCGATCCTACCTGCCATGAAGGAAGCAAATGCTGGAAATTGCCAATGGATGCCTTGAGAGTCCCAGGGCCCGAGGCTTTCTGCACAGCCGAACTAGCACCTTGACAAAAACCAGACTGAATTTCCATGAACTTTCCAATCCAGTTGCAGTTTTTGCAGCTATGTATTGGCAAATTTCACAGTGCGTACGTATATCGTCATACCGTACATCTATATTTTTATAAGTTTATATCTATATAATATACAAATATATGTGTATATAATATATGATATATAATATATGATATATAATATACATATATACATAAATAAATATATACATAAATAATATATAATATATAATGTATACTATATAACTTTTAATATATAATATATAATTTCTATTATAAAATTTATAATATATTTAATATAATATATAATATATAATATATAATATATAATATATAATATATAATATATAATGTATATAGTATATTATATATATAATATATAATATATAATATATAGTATTTAATATATAATATATAATATATAGTATATAAGATATAACATATAATATATAATATATAACATATAATATATAATATAATATATAATTTATAATATATAATATATAATTAATAATATATATTATAATTTATGTAATATAATATATATATATATTATATTATTTATATAATATAATTTATATAATATTATATATACAATATAATATATATAATATACTATAAAATAGATAATATAACATATATAATATAATGTATATAATATAATATATAAATAGAATTTAATATATATAATTTTATATATATGATAATATATATATATATATGTGTTATAATTATATATATATGTTATACATTTTTTTTTATATTATACAAGTACTGCCCATTATATAAAGTTCAAAGTCTTTGAAAGGTAGGTATCCCAATCCAAGACGAATCACGGATTGCTCCCCAGGTTCCTTGGAAATGCTATGGATGCAGGGAGAGCCCGGAAAGGTGGCAGGGGCACCAAGGCGCACCAAGCAAATGGCAGCTACAAAAAAGGTGATTTTTGTGTGGTATAAAATCCACTCGAATTTGGGATATCATGGGGATATAACCAATATCCAATAAATCGAAACTTTGTGGGATCTGGGAACTATATAATTTCGGACAGAATGGGAAAGTTGATGGGAAGATGGGAAAAACATGTGGGATATAGTGTATGTAGCCATCAATTTTATATGTTCGTACGGCTGAAAGTGGGATATCCCCCCCAGTTGTGGCCGTGTCGTGAGGGAAAATGATGACAACACATTATTTTTGGGGATACAATATTTTCAGGCCCACCCAAATTTGGATATGATGATATGGATCAAGGTGTAAGGCCGGACCGGTTTTCTTTTAATCATTCTTGGTATCAACAATTCAATTACTGTATTAGTGTAAAGTGTAAACCTATTCAGAAGGCAAAAACGCAGTCTCACAGGAATGTCATACTTTCTTCTTGGAAAATCCTTTGATGAGAGACTACCGCCCTATGCTTGTACTGATACATTGTTCCAAATAGTTTTCTGTATTCTTGTTTGGTCAATGTTAGAGAATCTGAAAGAGCTACCGTCTTTTTGACAAACATGTTTTGTTTTTGAGCGGGAACCTTTCCTAAAAGGTCATTTGCATTTGCATTTGACGAATTCTGCACATTCTCAAAGCCTTGCAGGACTGTCTCACTCACTGCATATGTACAAAACAGATAATCAGATGATCATTGGATTGTCATAACCACAAACATTAAACCAGCCCATTTTATCCCGTACTCAACATGTTTCTGGGTTACTCTTAATTAATTAGGATAGACATTGCAAAGCAAAATCACGCATTTGTATCATGTGTACAAGGATTTCTCTTTGAAAAAATCATTGTTTTTCCATATTATTTTGTTAGTTTTCAGGGCATCTCCCCATTTTCGTGTGTGAATTTTACCCTCTGGTAAACATACAAAAAGCTATTGAACATGGCCATAGAAATAGTTGACATCTCATTAAAAATGGTGATTTTCCATAGTTTTTTGTATGTTTACCAGAGGGTAACAACAATCACCGGCCACTGAGATCAGTTCTGAGACCCTGGACATGGCGGAAGCAGCACCAGGAGTCCATGTGAGCTTTCCAAGTGATTTGATGCGAAAAAAATATATGGGAAAATCAACCATTCTATTGGGATATGAATGGGGACATGTTATTGGAATATGTAACCGCCAGATGATAAATCTGTGATATGGGGATGCTTTATGGATTTGGCATGCACATTTTATGGACAACTGTGGATTTCGAGCAATGAATGATAGATATTTATAGGTTTTTATTGTATTTAGTTGGATATATAACCAACAATCTAATACAGGTGTTTCTTTTTGGAAATGGGGCTGGTACTTTTAGCAAAATGGTGATTAATCATCAAATTTGAGAACAAACCTACACTGTGTCGCGGGTTTGCTTAGATAGAACTACGGCCGCGAATAAAACAATATCGAAATCCATAGGTATCCCATTTGAGAAGTGGTCTACGAACATAAACTGTTCTCTATGTCAGATTTTTTTGAAGGGTACTTTAGTTGGAAGATCAGAAATCGTCCAAAAATGTCCTTGAAACACATGTTGGATTTCCCATGTTCCCCATGTTTTTTTCTGGGGTTTTCCCATGGAAACACATGGGTGATTTGCAACCGACTTCTCGATGGATCGCAGGACAGAAGACCCATGTGAACTCCAACGGACAGCTGATGCTCACAGTTGATCCCGAGGAGACTGGGACAGCCGAGCCATGGTGATATGTATACAGGGGATGAGGATACAAATATGCATATTATGTATACATATATATATATATAGTATGTATATAGATAGAAAGGTATACATATGTATATATATATATGGTGTATATATATATATATATGGTGTATATATATATATGGTGTATATATATATATATGGTGTATATATATATATATATCATCAGATTTATGTATATACATATATAGACATATACATATATTCACACACATATATATATATACATACCGTATGTATGTATGTATATATATACACATATATATACATGTACATACATATATATATACATATACATATATATATACATATACATATACATATATATATATACATATACATATATATACATATACATATATATATACATATACATATATATATACATACATATATACATATATATATATATACATATATATATATATATACATATATATATATATATACATATATATATATACATATATATATATATACATCATCAACGGAAATCTAGATGTCTAAGCTCCGTGATATGGACAGTGAAAATGTGAAGCACCACCACATCACCACATAATCACATCACCACATCATCATATATGTAATAATAATAATAATAATAGTCATAATAATAATATATATATATATATTATATACACACGTATTTATCGATATATTAAAGATAGATGTAGCCTATTTAGATACATGGATGACACTCCAAACAAAGATATAGTACCTCCAAAACCATTAAACTTGTGCTGTTGGAACGATGAGAGGACGTTGATGGAAACACTGTTGTCATTTGCATATTTCTTAAATCTGCTTTCTGGCTGCTGAGTGAGGCTGTCCCATCCACAAGAGTGAGATGATGAAACCCAAAGACCCGGGGTGGCTCTATTTCTTCCGAGAAGAAGTGTAAGAGACAATTTGTAGGAAACCCTTTAATGGTAAACCCATGGTTTCCAGCAAACATTTTCTTTGGGGTACCTTCAACCTGAATCCATTGATGATTACGTCCCATAAAATGGATGTCTTCATACCTCCATTGTTGGGCAAAAGACTTCCGATAAATGCCCACTATATCCCATAGTTACCCTCCGGTAATCAAAGATGGGAAATTGTGAAATCCCCGAGGTTCAAATGGAAAAAAATATTGGAAAACACATCTACAAATAAGGGATTTTCCATTGCCACGTTTGTTTTTTCATGGATGGTATGAAATACTCCAATACGTATCCCCACAGGATGGGGCCCCAGTTCGTTAGCTAAGTTGGTTTATAGCTATAATAACAAGTGTATGATACCTATAACATCGTATAACTATATTTAGATGGGGTTATAAACCAACTTATAACTGGGGGGGCCCATCCTGCATATCCTAAGCGATGCCGCTAAATCCCGATTAAGCCTCATGATGTTTTTTTTTCTCACCCAAGTCTGTGAAGTCCTCATCAATCCCCATGAAGTCCTAAGAATCCTTTAAATACCCATGATTTGTACCCATTATAGTCTCACTTCATTCCTATTATATTCCAATTATATCCCCATTGAAACCCATGAAAATCAGATTCATCCCCATCAAATCCCAGAAAATATTCCCAATACTCCCATGAAATCCTATTTGACTCCAATAAAATCGCATAAAATCCCCATAAATTCTGGCCTAGCCCCATAAATTGGGCGCTCGCGAGATCTCGCGAGGTCCGGGTGACCGACCAAGTGGCCGTCTCCTTGGGAATGGCTGTGGCCGTACGAAACTCGCTTCGTTTAGATCCTGCAAGTACCAGGCAATTCGTTGGATTAGCATTAGTATCTATTTATAGTATATATTATAGTATATTTATTTATATAGTATATTATAGTATACTTTTGTTTATCTATTTATTATATAGTATATTTGTGTTTCAAAGTAGTACTCGTATTTTTCGTATTATCATGTGAATATATGCATGTATTATATTGGTATACTGGATTATATTTAGTATTATTATTGCAAATAGCATGATTAGTAATTAGTGTTGTTGGAATGTGTATTAGTAGTGTTAGTATTATTAGAAGAACTAGATATATGTATTATGGTTTGTATTGTTGGTATATTAGTATGATTCGTTTCATTTGATTAATAGTATCATACAGGATTTTATTATATATTAATCATTAAATAATACGTATCACAGTGGATACGAATGTAATATTATTAGTTATACTGTACTAGTGAAAAAAATGCTGGAGAATGGATAAGATTAGATATTAGTATCTCAATAATTAGTGTTGACATTAATGGATATTAGATATTAATGGATGTTAATGGATCTGAGGATTGCGAACCAACAATGAATATTAGTATGTTTAATGGTGATATTGATGTAATGTACCCGATACTAGTATTTGTGACAAAGGTTATTAGTATATTGAAGTCTTACTGGTGCGTTTTACGTAGGGTTGCTGAATGGGTTGTTGGGGGTTGGGATGATCTGCTTGATAGTTAGCCAGTGGATCAGTCCCGAAAATTCCCTACGTTTAGCACAAGAAGTGCTTCGGAATTATGAAATTTCTGGGCGGGCGAGACGACGAATTAGCCTTTCTCCTTGCGGTGATTAATTGATGTAATTTACCGGATAAATTGATATGAGTATTATTAGTTTACATTGAATATATATATATTGTATAGTTTCATTAGCGGTGATATTAATGAACGTTAATTAAATCGAAATCAAATGATGCTATAGACTTTCCATCTAATCCATGCAATAACCAAGCATTTATGGTGATACAATGGGATATGATTAATGGATATCGATGGGAGCTCACTACGAGCAATTCTTGGATCCAAAGATGGGAGATGTGCCTCCCATTTATGGTCATGTTAATGTGAAATTATGACCCATCATTGTTTCTTTAAGGGGCTCATGATTACTACTGTATTCATCAATTCTACAAGTCATGAAAAGGTGGATGACGGAATTTGAATAAAACATAAGTGAGGATGTGAGGCCGGATGAGTTTCACACCTACCAAGTGCCCCAGTATTATCCCATTTTGTGGTGATTTACATAATTGCAGTCCCAGTTGCTGAATTGGAGCCCTGTTTGATGTTTTAATGTTATGTGGATGTTGGTCAGTTTGCCCAATAAAAAGCAGCCTGCGAAATGTGCAGTTTTCCTCCAGTGTCTAAAGGGCTGGAAGTTGTTCACCGGGTTGAAGCCACCAAGCAGACAACTCGAGGACTGGAATCTCTGGAAGAAAAGATTGAGCGTTTGTTGGAGGAGGATTGGAAGGCTTGGAGTGGTTTTTTTTTGATCCGCCTGGATAACGATGATCATGGATAGCCAGTAGGGTGGACCAGTCAAAACAGAAACTATGCGGATGATATGGTATGATGTGTATGATCTGGTTGTAAAAAAAAATGTGAAACCATGCGGAAAAGGGCTGAAATTAGCTTTGGTGGTTGTGATGTCTTTCCAAAGCAGCCATGACCCAGCCAGGGCAGCCACTCTTTTCTCAGTTTGTCCTTGGAGGCTCTGGAAAGACTGATCAAACGATTGGAAGATCCATGGTATTTGATGGTCAGTCTGAAACTTGGATTTGGAATACTTGGATCACCCAGGGCAGGTTATTTGTGAAGATCTGGGCATGATCTGGTCCAAACATGGTCTCAGTCAAAAAAAACACACCATGGCTGAGGGGCTGTTCTACAGGGAGGGTCCAACCTCGCCAAACATGCTTGAACATGTGTAAAAAAAAAAGATAGTGTGAGATACAGTAATGATTCAGATCTGATCTATGTCTTTGGGTACTCCTAACGTTTTGTTTGTCCTCGAGTTTGCAGGAACTAGAAGTCTCAGTTGTTTCCTCTGAAGATTACAACCGAGATGTGATGCCAGGTGCATAACTTGTTTGGTCTTTGCCATCACAAATTGTGAATGTCTGTTTGGTGGGTAGCCCCAACAATCTCATAGTAATCACTGTCAACCAACCCCCAATAAACAACCCCCAGCTGCTTGTTTCGTTGGGGGGGATGTTGGGTACAACTACTTAATCAACGGAGGTGTATCAATCCTGGGTGACATTACTCAGAACCATAAACATGCGGACGTCCTGCGTGTCCTGCGGGGCCTGTATTTTGACATATTCTGCCCCACACCCACGTGTTGTTCTCCTTCGTTTGTTGGTTTAGAGCACATGGTTTTGGGTCTCCAACTGAGCAATGGCCCAAGCACAACTCTGATCGACCTTGAACATCGCAATTGTTTACCGGCGTGGAAAGGTGTACAACCCACTACAAACTGATTGGCGGTTTCAAGTTTCGCATACTATTGCCATTCTCAATTTGCTGTTTATTCATTGTAATGCTGGGTACTAACATGTATTAACAGTTCTTGGGATGGTTTGTAAGCACCAATACCGCAGATGCACAGTTCGTCAGTCCAAGGAAAGATGTGTCACATCGAATCTTCAAGTTTCTTGGAAATATGCGGAAGCACCGGAAAATGTCTGAAAATCTGAAAATGGTTCTACCATGTTCTACCGTGGTTTTTTCTGCCCTACCAAAAAGTAGGGTCAAGAGGGTATGGTCTCTTGTTATGTTCACCAGCATTGCAAAGGCTTCGGCATGGATTTTGCCATGACCAATTTGAATCCATAGCGATTTGGGGGATGATTTATCGTGGAACATTCCAAAATCTTCCAAACACGATTGCTGGGTTTGATTGGTTTGATATTCCAAACTAGTCCACTATATTTCAAGAAAAAAACCGGAATTGAGGAATTTGCCCAATCTTGATCATCATTTAGGTGCCAACTAGTCAGCTGTTTGACCATACAATTGCTGTCAACTGTTTGGTTTGTAAACTTGTAAACCTGGAATCAGACCCTTTGGTCAAGGGTAGATACAGAGAAATGCCTTACACAAATCATTGGCTCTATATTGAACTAAACCATTGGCTATCGCGAAAATTGGGTTGTGACTACTAAATGCGACCGGAAATTGTGGCCCCAAAGCTAAAGGCTTCAATTTTTGATACATACCAATAGAGGCCCATAGAGTTTATAGGGCTGAGACTCTCAAAAGCATTTGTGCGCCCAGTCTCAACATATCACGACTCTAGAAATTGTGATTTACAACTGCCAGTTTTGAGTATCAATGCAGGTGGATGATATTTCATTATTATTATTGTTTTTGGTTTTTGGCCCATTTTGGCCCAGCAGGTATGAGCACGTGATCCACAAGCTGCGCTATGAGCTAAACGCTGAAGCGCGTTTGCTGGATTCACCAGCCTCCCGCCTGCAGGTTGCCAGTGCAAGCACCCAATCCGCTGCATTTTTGTGGGGTTACACAGCAGCTTAAACAAAGCGAAACTGATCCAATTCCAAAAGCTTGATTTTTGCTAGGCCAAGAATGCATCAGCATCATCCATCATCCATAGATATCTGACCTGACCAGGTTTGGGAGGGCCCTGATCTGGTGGTTTGTTTTGAATCTATTTGAATCTGACATATCTGACATTTCCACCCCTGGGGTGATTGGGGCTGAATGGACAGTTGCATATTTCTGGGGCACCAGCGGGTACTGGTAGTCTTTGTTCATTCGTTCTTTTGATACTTATTGTTCTGAAAGCACTCATAGGTACTATATTATACTATCCTTGGTTATAAACCACTTACCCTCTGGTAAACTAACGTAACTATGGAAAATCACCATTTTTCATGCGAAAACTCACTATTTCTATGGCCATGTTCAACAGCTTTTTGTAGGATTACCAGAGGGTAGGATTCCTCATGTAAAATCAGGGATCCCAAGGAAAATTGCAAAATCTGGGTCCACGTTTGGTCCCCAAGATTTCCCAAATGGGGAAATTCTCCAAGTTGGGGCCCTAAATAACCAACTTGGGGATTCCCAGAAGGCAAATTTGTTTCATCCCAACTTGGAGTGGAAAAAATCATGCGCAACGAGAATTCTGAACCAGATTTCTGAAAGAGCGTCAATAACAATATGTTCAATTTATAGTTCAACTTGGAATAAATATCACTGATAGATATCACTGAACGTCAACATGTTTTTGTGTTTTCAATTTATCGTTCAGTGATTCGCAGTGTCTCAAACACCAGGTGTTTGTTTGGACTTGCAACACTTGTTATGATGTAGGTTAATTATTCAGCATTACTTAACCATTGTATATTAGATACATACACCCACCATCCCAAAATGTGGGTGAATAATTTTGAATCATGCCTGTTTAATAGTTGCTGAAGTAGCAATTACTATTAAGATGTTCCCCGACTAAACCGGCCAAGGTTAATCCAAGGTTGACAATTTCAACAAAATCCGTGGCATTATTGGATGATATTGGATGATTTCGCTATGAAAGGGGCATAGTTCAGTCCCCCTCATTGTGGCTCAGGATCTTCTCTGGGAGAATGCCATGGCAGAGAAACTTCACGACAAGGCGCGGCCGGGCCCCGGGCAGGGGAGATGGTGACGATTCGGCGTCGGGACTGGGGTGGTAGCGATTGGGAGTGGCTCCCAATTGGTGGGATTCCTATTGGATTTGACATCAGAATTAGTGGAAGAATAGAAGAAACATAACAAACCCATGTGATCAAGCTGGAAGCAAAGTGACCGGTTGTTTTTGGAGTTGACATGACCCATGCATGGGAGGGTTAAGTATCTGAAAAAAGGACCACTTGGTCTATATCCAACATTATTATCCACCAAAAGTGGTTGAAGACTATGCTATGATTTTTGTGGGTCTGCAGGTACACCATGTTTGAGCCATTCTCAAAACAGGCTTTCCTGGTACACTCTTGCAAGCTGGTTGCCACATTGAAATATAAAGAAAATTGATGTTTGCCCGAGCCCTACTGGAGCCAGTTCGAATCCTATCTTTACCCAGTTCCATCAAGTAAGCAGATTAGTGATAAACCCAAGTATAGATAGGATTAGAGATGGTTTTGATGGTGTTTCCCCAATAATAGGAATGGTGGTTTATACCCATCATATACTATCTATAAACCTCCAATGAGTGATGTTTTTTTTCAGAACTTCTTTCCAACGAAATCGGGGTGGTTTGCGATGTTTGGAAAGTTGCCGTGGGAGAAAACCCGCACCTTAAAATTGTTGGTAAATGGAGGTTCAACCCTCCAAATATGGGTGCAATAGGTCTCTTAGAAATTCTGGACATCTAACAAATTGCTGGTTGGTGGTGACTGGAACATGGAATTTTCCTGATTAATCTATGGTTCATCTATGGTTAATCTATGGTTAATAATGGTTAATCATTGGAATAACAATATATCTGGTTGGTGGTGACTGGAACATGATTTATATATATATATATTTATTGTTCCATTCAGTTGGGAATAATCTCCATCATTTTTCAGAGGGGTAGGTATACCACTAAGTAGATTGTCATGTTCATGGATTTTAATGGTAAATTTTGTCACATAATACCAACGTTTTTGGGGTGCAGTAATCAAGTTTGATTCATACCCATGCATGTCCTGTGCCCCTGGTTGTGCCCCTGGTGAACATCAAAACAACTGTTCAATGGAAATTCATCCTGTTCAAAAATAGACTGTAGGTACTGATCAATAGTAGCCATATGGAGATTTCCATAAAAAAATGGTGGGGTACCCTTAAATCATCCATTTCACTCATAGAAATGGATGATGGCAAAATATACAGGAAAACCCGATCAATTTGATGGTAAAAACCATGGTTTCCGGTTAAGATTTTCCCTTAAACCAATCCATTGAATTTCAGGAAGACCCCATCAATTACTACCGAGATGCCGAGACGCCGAGGTGGTGGCCCATTTCGACGTGCGCCGACGGACTGAAATCCTGAACCAACGATTGAGTTAGAGCCCAAGGGGATGATCTCGAGATATCCAGATCCATTGGGACTAACAGTTAGAGGGTTAATGATGGTTAGTAGGATGTTAGTAGTGGTTAATGGATGTCCATGATGTCAATGGTAAATGATGGATTGTACTTCATGATCAATCATCTAACCATGGGGTTAAATGGTAACAATGAGGTTAATGTTAGTTAATGGGTTACCACTGGTTACCATGAGGGTTAATGATTTGGACAAAATGATTAGTAGTGGTTACCATGAGGGTTAATGATTTTGACAAAATTTTGGTGAATGATGGTTATCATCTAAATTTACCGTTTATTATTAATGATCAATGAGGGTTAATGATGGTTAGTACAAGGTGGTGCCCCCCCTCCAGTTATAAATGGGTTATAATCCCATTAATTAACATTGGAGATACTTTGGAGATATAACACGTCTAAACCATAGTTATTGGACTTATAAACCAACTTAGCTAACTATGGGGCACCACCTTGTAGATGTTAGTACTGGTTAATAGATGTCAATGGTAAATGATGGATTGTACTTAGTGGTAAATTATGGAAAATTGCTGCTGTAGTTAATGATAGTTAATGATAATGGTAAATGATGGTAACCACTAATGATGGTTTGTAGTACCGATCAACAACATTTAGTAGATGTTACCACTAATGGTACCAATCATTTACCACAACATTTAGTAGATGTTAGTAGTGGTTAATGGATGTTAATGGCAAACCATGGTTTGTAATTAGTGGTTAATTGCTACTGTAGTTAATGATAGTTAATGATGGTTAATGGGTGGTTAATGATGTTAATGGGTGGTTAATGATACTTTAATGATACCTTTAATGATACATTAATTCCATGATGTTAATGATGTTAATGACAATTTAATGATGTTAATGATACCTTTAATGCCATGTTAATGTTAATTAATTATGGCGACTTATGATGAAATTTTCATGGAAAATTCGCCCAAGAAGGTAATCATCAACAAATGGCTGGAAAATCCCCCATAGATGATTTTCCCACGAGACAGGCTAGGTGATTTTCAATTGCCATGTGGAAATTACCGGAGGGTACCCTCTGGTAATGACTAACATAGCTATTGAAAATGGTCATTTCTAATGGGAAAACTCACTATTTCTATGGCCATTTTCAATAGCTATGTTAAATGACCGGAGGGTAATTCATAGATATGTGCAAAGCAACCCCACTTTTTTCGAGCTTTTCCCAAACAAAATGGACGGGTTTGGATTCTGGAAAGCATTCCTCAATATACAACATATGGGAAATTGGAAAAGTGTCAGACGTATGTGAATTGTAGGAAAATTTGCCCACATGCAGTGGTTCCAGTTGATATGATGGCTCAAGTTGGTAAGTGGCACACAAGTGTTTATTCCCATTCATCAACTGTATTTTCCAGTTTCAGGTACTACATGGTACTACTATCTGAATGTCAGGATGGTAGAGACTCCCCTTATGTTGGGCATCCGAAAATGGGGTGCAACAGATACTGTGTGCAGCGAGCCTAGATCATGCGCACAGAAGGAGCCTAGATCACTCGACTGCAAATGGATAATCAATGGATAATCAATTGGACCTTGGCTACGTGATCACCATTGTAACATATTGTAACCATGCAATGCATTTACACCATGCATCACTATCACCATTTGTGAACCATATGACCATGTACATGATCACACTGAGTGTGAAATGTTTGGCATGCTCTTTTGAACAGAAGCATGATTTCCAACCCTCTTCTGTATTTCAAGCCCCAATTGTGGTGTCAGTTCCAAAGGATTGTTGATTTGGTGGGGAAAGTTGGGAAAAATGGCTCTGCAGGTCAGCAGAGTGTTGATATTTTCTGTCTCAAGAGAATCCATGACCATCATGACGATTGCCGTGGGTAAACTTGATGAATGGTGCATGGGTTGATTTGCCATGGCCATCAGGAAGCTAACCCCCCAATCAAACCAACCAGGGGTGGATAAATTTTGGATGAAAAATATCTCGATGGAAGAAATACTGCACCACCTTGGATGGTCCAAAACCTATACCCTCTAGTAATTTAACATAACTATGGAAAATGGCCCATTTATAGATGATTTTCCCATTAAAACCTCCATTTATAAGGGATTTTCCATGGCTATGTTAAATAACCAGATGGTAAATAACTGGATGTATAACTGGATGTAAAAACCACCGTTTTCAACTGCAGGAATTCGCCACCATCCACCGTACCATGCCACTTTGAAGATGATTCTGTTTGCGTCTCGAAGGTCCAGCTTCACTGCCAGGCTATTCCCTGGACTATTTGCACACCTTGGGAGAGCACGTGAGGTCCGGTAACTGCTGTGACCCGCAGATGCTCACGGGTGAGCAATGGGATGCTTCATTCTGATGTAGCACCTTTGGAAAGTGTTGTACCTACAATTTATGGGGTTCCTATGAAGGATGAATTCATGTTCCTTCCAGAAATTCTAGGAGTTGCTGTATCTTCCCTTTTTGGCACTTGGCATCCAACGAATGCCTGCATAGGCATCTCTACTCGGTGCGCTTGGAGAGGACCACGGTGTTTTTTTCGGAAAATAGGCTCAAACCATGGGTTCGCCTGAAAATGGAGTATACCACGGATAACATTTTAACAGGGAACATGATGATTCACTAGCAGATGTAGGGTTGTTTCCCTCATTTTTTAGGCAAACCCAACAAGTGGATACCAATGGTGTATGAATCATTTTTGGGAGCCTAATTTGATGTTTAGATTCCATCTTGAATTTGCAAAGTGATGTTGCCCATAAATCTCTGATTCTCTGCCTCTATCTATTTGGATTTGATTTCCGTAGCAGAAAAAAAACATTGAACATTATTAAAAGTCAACAAATGAACCCCACATACATCCAGTTGTTTTGCGGCAAAAACAGGATGATCATCATCCTCATTACCTTGGAACTGGGCGTGCGGAGCCATAGCTCTGGTGATTCGCTGCAGGAGTTTGACCGGATGTGAAGGGTAGAGATGGAAATCCACACCAAAAGTGTCGGAAAATGATCTACAAATGCAAGGTAATAACATGTTAACTTACTCGGAGGCACATTGTTTTTGATTTGTTTTTGTATGTTTTTGTTGGTACCATTCTGATGGGTCAGAATAAAGGATAGATACTACCCCGATCATCCCAGATCTATCCAGCTAGCGTGTTCTTTTTGAAGGGTACCGTAACTGAATCTTCAATGGCGAAAATCATTTAGGAGTTTAGCACTTGCCTTCCGTTCAGTACTGATTTTGGTATGGGGTTGCCTATATTTGTAAGTGATGTCAACAATTTGAGAAGTGGGAAGAAAAGGGCATAAAGGCGCCAATAGAAAATCAGATGACGTAAACTTGGATACAGAAGCCAAAATATGGTTCGGGAAAATGTATTGGTTAGGTGGTAGTCTTAAGGGGTTGTGCTTCCTGGTGTAGATCGCAGATTATACTAATCCAAGATAATCCAAGCGTAGAAGCGGTGGCACAAGGTTTGCAGCACTCTAGGAGGAATATATACAGTATGCTTGAGCTGTGGTGCCATTCTTTTCTCCATCCAGACCACTTAGCAAAGGCACTTCGTCCAGAATTTCTCTGCTGGCAATCCCCACAAGATCGACATCCCCAGCGAAAACTGCTCCTCTGAATCTGAAAGTTCTTACTTTTATGAGTCAAAACACATTTCGATTTCATTAATTTCCTGATAGCACCAAAAAAAGTGGTTGGTGGTTTGGAACATGATTCTTTTCCATTCAGTTGGGAATAATCATTCCAACTGACGAACTCATATTTTTCAGAGGGGTAGGTCAACCACCAACCAGCTATAGTTAATAGATAACCTAGATAACTATAGTTTGAACTGAATCATATATCATATATATATATACGTATATAACTATAGTTATAATTTGGTTGTGTTAAATAGCTATAGTTGGTTAAAGGGGTAGGTATACCACCAATCGTTTGCTAATGACATTTTAGGTATCCCAGACATCCCATCCAGCGCACGCTCTCCAGGTTGGCCTCATCAGCCTTTTTGGAGAACAATTCTCCCCACATGGTGCACTGTGCGGCGATCCAGCTTGGAATGATTTGGAATGTTCAGATTTCATCCATCTTTGGGAAACTCCAATGCAACAAGCCATGGAAGTGATATATATATATATATAGTAAATATATATAGTATATATATACTATATACTATATACTATATACTATATACTATATACTATATACTATATACTATATACTATATACATATATATATATATAGTATATATAGTATATATGTTTTTTCTTACACTTACGAGGTGGGTGTTCCATTCTTGTCTTAATGATCTGAACGATCCCCATGTCAGGGGTTTATGAATTGGGTCTACTGGTGTTACTACTGGTGCCTCTGTTTGTGGGATGATGTATACAAGGTGGTGCCCCATAGTTAGCTAAGTTGGTTTATAAGTCCAATAACTATGGTTTATATGTGTTATATCTATAGTTAATCGGACTATAACCCATTTATAACTGGGGGGGCACCACCTTGTAGTTCCCTATTCTGATGGTCAAACCTATGCCTTTACCGTGTTTCATCTGCAGAAAACCATGGCGTCCAACGTCCAACTGCGGCACCCGAGGTTTTTAACGGGGCAGAAGCCCCTGGCACCTCCCAACGATGCGTTTTGACGAGAAGAAACAACCGCTGTTTTGAGTGCGTCGTTTCGCAGGGAATGGCTGTTGTTGCAGATGTATCTTCAACAGCCATTCAAGCGGAAAATGTTGGGCCCTATGATTCTCATGATTTGTGACCAAACAAAAAAAAATGGAAATCCAGCCAAGCCAATCCATGAAAAAACATGGCAAATATGCCACCTGAGGCCGGTTCCCCAAGTTTCTCCAACACAATCAGTCTGGGGAAAATATTGCAACCTTTTTTTCCGACAGTGGGAATTATGTTTTTTTTTTAATTTGCCCAGTAAATGAACTGCTGCTATTATATAGAGCCTAAAAAATATAGCGCGATTTTTGGGTAGAACAAACTTGGTTATACTTAGTGTTATCTTGGTTTGGTTGATGGGACACATCTGCCATTTTAAATGAAACAGTTATTTTACCTCTTGCGGCCAATCTGTGTTTGTTTGCACCCGGTCGTTTCCCTTGTGCATTTGCCATGACGGGATCCGGTTGGGTAATTTACCTTCCTGCTTAAAGGCTTAAGATCCTCTTTAAATCAAATCAAAGCAATTTCCAAATTTTCCAATAGGAAAACCACTTTCCAAGCAACATGTGTTGGATTTCCTCTGCATTTTTTTTGGTTTGGTATCCTCCAAGTAATGAGTTTCTATCCATGGGTGCCCAATCCCATAGTAATTTGGTAAACCCAGTAGTAAACCATATTCAATTTCACCTTAGAATCATTCCAAAATGGTACGTAGGTTCATCATTGGGTTTACCTACCACATTATTCATTTCTTTGGGGTCGAGAGAGTGATCTACACATTGACACATTGGGCTTGATTTCACGTGGCAGCACCCCTCGCTCTCTTCGCAGCTGCTTCATCCATCAAAGATATCAATTTAGAGTCAGTCATGACCGATATATATATACATAATGTGTATATATATATATAGATGGTACCCAAGACCTTCATAATTTTTGGCTCCTGTATTGAAGATATGTTTGATCTTTCAAAACAGTTTTTTCCTTTGCACTCATGGAAAGATGATTCCGTTCGACTCAAGTTTTGTTGTTTGGTGGTACAACCACCGGTCAGACAATTGTTCCGTCACCATGCCTTGCACATCCTCCAATTTTTCAACCCAGCAAGAACTATAGATTCATATCACGCCAAAGCTGAGATTGTGTTGCTATCCTGGTGGAAATTTGTAATTCTGGGGGTTCAAGACTATGACTACCTATCCTACTCAATGCAAAGAATCATTGCATGTCAACCCAGAAAATCCCCCGGGCTCATTCAATGACCCCTGGGTGAATTGTCAAAATTGGTCGGATTATCAGAATTCTATGGTGGGTAATTGAGTCGCACATGATTTTCCCGATATTGTAACATTAATACAATCAACTGGAGGTACTATAGGGTAGTATATACCACCATATTGATTTAACTATATAGGATTGTATGGTGGGTATGATAAGAATAGACATCAAGACATGGATAGTTCGTGGCCCATGGATCCGTTCGCGCGTCTTCCTATAGGCCCATCGCCTGCAGGGCTGAGTTGCGTTTGTGAAGAGATCTTAAAAGAAACCCAGCAACAATGGGGGGATAGACCCCAAGAGACTTGGTGATTTTAGATGTGTACCCTCTGGTAAACGTTTACATAACTATGGAAAGATCCACAATTTTGAATGGGAAAATTCACTATTTCTATCTATAAATGGCCATTTCCAATAGCTATTTTGACATAACCAGAGGGTAACAATTTAACTAATGACCTGTCATTACCTGATCTTTGTTGGTGGTTTCAGAAGGCTCAGGGAACGATGTCATGAACAAATGCTGACACTGGGAGTTGCTTATCATTAGTCATGAACAAATGGAAAGCCAACGAAATGGATATGCTATCGATCGCGACCTGCAGCTTGGATTATTTAGCCGGCAGATTTCACCATTGATGGTTGATATATCATGATGTATCAATATATATATATAGATATATATATATAATTGATTCATTTATTTATTCATTTATCTATTCATTTGTGTATACAACGTTTCGACCATTGCACACTTGGGGCTGGTTTCGACATCATGAAACTTGCGCGCAGGCAACAGCAGCGCATCGTCTTCGCGGGACTCAACAGACGAGTGAAGATGTGATTGGTGAATATAGACGATACACCAATAATTGGTATAGACATTATTGTAATATGTAATGATAATGTGATTATAGAATATTATGTAATGATAATAGATATATAGGTGATTGTAGATATATTGGTTAATATATCATGATAATGGTACATATATATATATATATATACATATGTATATATATATACAGACAATACATGTATATATGTATAATTGTAACATTAATACAATCAACTTTGTGTATGTACTGTATATTACACACATTTATACAATGGGTGGTATGTATGCCCACTGTTGATCACAGAGTGATAGGGGTTTAGATACTGCCTGGTTTATTGGGGATTGCATATCCATATGTTTTGACCCTTTTCTAAGAAATTCTAAGACCTATAATTTGTGATGGCAGATGTTTTTTAACACTGCTGGTGTGATCTCATGTGCAGACTGGTTGGATTGTAGTGATATACTTATACTGATGTTTGTTCTTCTTGGGAGGGATTAAATGGGTACTGTACGCAACATACCCAGTAGAAGTCGAACCACCATGTGGCTTGGGGCCCATGGGGTTTTCACGAACCACCTGGAATTTATGTGAATTCTCCATGTTCGCAGCAGAATAGGTCAAAACACCACAGGGCATGAAGTTCTCATATTGTTTAATGGGAGTTTAATGAGGAGGTATTTCTAGTATTTGATGTGGATATAATTCAACATAAATCAACATAATTCAACTAATGTGGTTAAAACAATGCCATAAACTAGCCATGACTGGGAATGGATTATACAACCCATTTATGATTTAGGAGATGGTTTAAAATTGTTTTAATAACTTTAATTGAACATAATTCAGCAATATATGATCCGTTGTTCGTTCACGTTGGGATGGTCAGCCGCTAGGAGCCTCCATTGGAAGATGCTGCTCGGTGAGGTTGAGGTTGAATTTCCAAGTTCTTTGGGTGGTATTTTTTTTTTACCAGGACCCTACAATCACTGAATAGTGATCAGAATGGATGGTTAGGATGGTGTGCAACACTCAACTAACTGACTGGTGCTTTCATGTTGGTCTTATCTTTAATCCTGAAATCGGATGTCATTTTTTGGGATGGGTTTGTGATTCTGTCGGATTATATGTGAAAGACTCTAAACAAACACCACAAGAGATTGGTGTTCGCATGATGTTGGGGTCGCGGTAAGCCCAAGGATACCAGTATCGATGACATCTTGAAGCTCATCGAGGACGGTCCCGGAGCAAGGCGCGATACAGGGATGATCGAAGGTCAATTTCATGCTGTGGTGAAATTGCTGTGGAATTGTCATCAGTGAAGGGTGTTGTGGCCTGAGGATCAGGGTACAATTTCATGCTGTTTGCTGTGTTTCCTGTGATGGTCAATCTCTCTTTATCAGCTGGTCTGTGCCTGCGCCAAAGCTGCCCAGGGACCAAGATGTGGAGGAGTTGTTGCAATCCTTGCAGCCCAAGGAAGGTTATCTTGGGGTGTGCTGACGGGCTGGCTGGGTTTCCCCACAAATGTGTTATATTTATTTACGACTTACCAACCACACAGCTATATGTATATATACATAGATGCTGTACTATATCCATATCAATGACCATACATATACTGTACTGTACTATACTGAACATATCTGTGACATGGAAAATAAAAAACATACTAAGTTACTTGGATTTCAAGCAAGAAAGATGTGGGCCATACGGTTTCGAATTCAACAAGCCTTGGGGAGTTAGCCACCAAATGGATCCAAGTGGGATAAGTAAAGAGGACAACATGTGGTATTTAAAAACGAAACAATATTTTACTCTACAAACCTGGATTTTTCCAACGAATGGAGATGTTTCACAAAAAGAATGGGAAGGTCTCCCTCCTGTCAACGTGGGGGTTTCAAGTAAGTTTTTGGGTCACATGGATTTCTGAGAATTGCTCGTTTTAAGCTTCAAGCATGTCCCTAGCTTCTATCCTGAAAAATCAGATGATGATCCCTAATCAGCTGCCAAGGAAAATCATGCTTTCTTTTCTGCAAATTAATGGTGTGCACCATCACCAAACATTTCTTTGCTCCATTGCCACATGAAAAGTATTTGTTTTAATAATCTATATAGATTGTTGTCATACCAAAATTATCAAGACATGGTTCTCTTAGTCTCTTATTATTACTTCAGTGTTTTGGGAAGCTTAGGTCACTGGATGTCCCTTCCTGGGATCATATTTCTCTACCGGACATGAACGAGTTTCGTTCCTTTTCATGGCCGGAGTGATGCACGATACCAAAGAACCTGCTGATGGAGGATGTAGACCTGCCTTTCACTTGCCATACTTGGGATGCCTGTAGCAACTTGAAACTTTTGTGTATCCTTTCTTTTTGTTAGCTGCAAAAAGTTTCAAATCCCAGCATGATGTTTGATTCTTTGGGATGGTTTTCCAATCTCAGGCCATTCAGTTGTTCTGTATTTGTGAGCATTTGTGGGTAAATGCACCATCTGGAATAGTTTTCTGTGAAACTTTGGGGACTTCCCAAATCTCTGTCGTAACTGGTCCTGCATGGTTTTTCTCTGTCGGGTTGCTGGTCCCAGTCACCTTTGCCGCGGCGTTTGGCTCAAGATATCTCAAGATATGTGAAAACACAGCAGATGTGCAGATCCCTCCCCACCATTCTAGCCTTGAGGCCATTGGGCCCTTGCTGTTTGATTCATGTGTGTAAATGAAAAATGAGGGGAAGACTGGCAGATTTGGTCATTCGCTTGCGAGTTGAAAGCTGAGGAGGAAGCATCTGGAAGTCGGGGCAAGGGAGCCCAGATGATCGAAGTAGTGGCTGGTGACAAGACAGCAAGAAAAGACGAGCTGCAGTCGACCATATTATAGCAACACTTCCCCCCTAATTTGAAATAAATATCCTTTTTTTGTATTGGATCCATTCAAAATCATCACTTGTTGTTATTTGTTTCTGGGGGAAAGGAATAGTTACTCAGACTGAAGATATTTTTCTTGGCGATAGAATTCATCCCACCGCAACTGACAGCAAGAAACTGTTCTTGTATCCCTTGGCCCCGTGCGCCGCGCGGAACGGCACCCTGTGGGCCACGCGGGCTTCAGCCCGCGCGCCATCGCGCCATGCCTCTGCCTGTAGTGCTAAGCAGCTGCGTGGTGGCTTGGATTGCCGAGCCCGCTTTTTTGTTGAAGCAGCAAGAATCCAAGATCTAGAAACATTCGCAAAATGGGGTCCAAGATTGTAAATGGGATGTGTTCACTAAAACAATAACTGGGATTGGTGCGAACAATCAAATTTGTGTTTCAGTTTGGGAGGTACTATAGTGATTGATATGAATTAATGAGAAACCTATCATATTTCATCATATGTCCTTAAAAAAGAACTTTGGAAATTCCTATTCAATCCTATATAGCAGCAAGGCTAACAAACAAGGTACTAACTATCAGAATCAGACTTGAATCTTCAGGATTGTTCAAGTACACGTTTCGTGTGAGTTTCAGTCTTTATTGGGCCGCTTCCTTGGAGAACTGCAGTCCTGACGTGTCGGAGCCATTGCTTGTCAGCCCTTGCCATGAGGCGTAGGAAAAGCCAAAACAAATAAGGCTGGTGCCAACCTACTCTAAATAAATCATTGTCACGATGGATCACAAGGGTGGAATCGATTTGCCTCTATGATCCCTTCTTCCTATTACAAAAACTGCCCTAAATAAAAGAAATAGGATTGGTGTGGCACTTCCGTTTTTTTTGGTTGGGCACAATTGGATTCTTAACTGTGGTAATTGAGAATGATAGGAGAACAGGATGGTGAACCAATGGGTTCAACCCCCTATTGATAAAAATAGAATGCCACCTGGAGGTTTTTTATTAGGGTACCATCTCACAAGTTCTATTTTTTATTTTTATTAATTATTAAGGTTTTCATTGGAATAGTAGGGGAAAGCTTCGAAATCCAGTTTTTGGCAATATTTTATATAGATTTTAATAAGGGTTTTAATCAAGTTTGAGATCGAGTTTTTATATTTTTAATATTGGTGTTTTCATTCGAATAGGAGAAAGCTTCGAAATCCAGTTTTTGGCAATATTTTGTATAGATTTTAATGAGGGATTTAAACAAATTTGAAATTGAGTTTTGTATTTTTATTATTAAGGTTTTTCATTGGAATATTAGGGCCACCCCAATACAAAATATCCGCTAATAATAAAAAGACATCACCGTGTTTACCTTTTTTTTGGGGGGTGGGAATGTTTTAGTAATAGAGAGAGAGGATTATTTAGTGTTTTTCCCCCTCTTGTATATAGGTCTTTGGCAACAATCCCTGACCAGGATGCCATCAGCAATCGCTTGGAAGAGCTTGTGTAGCTTGGCGCAATTTTTTTGTGTAGGTTCGATGGGATGATAAACCTACGCACAGGGAGGCTCTCTTTTAGGTGAATTATCCTTTGAAAGATTGGCAATGAATTTTAGCTGGTCAGCTTAAGGCCACATTCATGCCTTTGGTGTATTACCAGAGGTTGACCCATTCCTGAGTATGTCAATCGCTGTGTAATTATCCAACTTAGCATCGTTAAATGGGTCGGAGACGTCTTCAAAAGAACGACTTGGAAATCTTCGACCATCAATGGATGACCCTCCCTCTCCAAAATTGCCATCCATTTTCCCATTAGAATCATTAGATTTCTGCAGGATATGTTCCAAACATGTCAGGTTCATAGGTTGGTGAATCCAAGACAAATAGAAAAGTGGTTAACTTCGCCTTCGGCAATCAACCATGGCTAGTTGGGAAATCACCCAGAAAATGGAAGGTTAATGGGAAAATCATCTATAAATGTTGGATTTTCCAGCACGTCATGATGTCATGTTTGATTACCGGAGGCTACGGCTATTTTAGTCGGAGAAACTACTTCCCCATCTTTGGGTGGCTACGAAAGAATTTTCAGCCAGACTTTTTTTGTTTCAGGTGTCATTGCCAAGAACTTCATCGCGAAAATCAGACTTTGCAGATGGAGAATGCCTCTCTGTGCCTTGCTATTGAACTATCTGGGTCAACTGTTGCTGGTAGTATATAGATGGTACAAAGTGAGGCCCCCAAGATAGCTAAGTTGGTTTATAACTCCAATAACTATGGTTTATGGTACTTATAACTATATATAGTTACTGGGGCTTCTAAACCCATTTATAACTGGGGGGCCTCACATTGTAGGATATTTTTTAGCTGAAAATGGGAATATGACTAGCTTCGGGGAGTAGAAGTGAATCGAAAGTGGGAGGTGATTTTGTTTACTGTTATGTCAGTGGCTCCGTGTAAAACAAAATTCTTGGGCATCCTCCCATTTCAACAGGACGATAGTCTAACGATTGGGACATGAATGCACAGATCACAAGTAGTTAGCCAACGGGGCTGTTTGGGGTCATGCAATGTGAAAATTTTTGGACACCCCACCGCTTGTGGTGACGTGTTTATGAAATGCCAGACCTGCCGTTGGGATGACTCTGACTGTTATGCTCCCGGCATGGAATGGCGGATCCCCAAGTCACCATGGTTGTTTCATTACTATTCATTACTAATTCATGTTCTAATGACTTGGATGATGCAAGGGGTTGCCCCTATTTTGGGACTTCTTCATATAATATTTGAGGCCCCTTGCGAACAAAACAACGTCAGGTTTGCAGTCACAGTCTGACTCTGTAGCAGATGTAGCAGCTGTACCATTTCGATCTAGCAGCTAGCATTTCAATCCACTCATTTCTCACGCTCCTTTCACCCTCCAAATCTTCTCAACATCCTCGATTCTCGCATCAAAACTTGAATGTGCATCCCAGTTAGAAAGTAGTGACTGAATAACCCATCTGAAATTGGGGAAACCCACCGTTTAGTTCTGAAGCCCAAACCAACTAGGATTCACTGACTTTCAATTTTCAAAGGCTGGACGCATACTGGGTGACCCGTACCAGAAATATCCCACTGATCTCATATGCATAGTCAAAATCCACATTTCCAAGTGGTTACACGTCCATGTTTTCTGGTTAAACTATATAGAGGCTTAATTCAGGACCTTGTATAATCTCGTATATGTTCATTCAAAATAACTTAAATAACTTAAATCCATCATGCCAAGTTGATCCCCAAGTTGATGGTTCCCCACATAACCTCCCCACCGTGGGCTCTGAGGAGACTGCAACAGGCTGGAGCGGCCGATCGAAGACCGCAGGCGGCCTGGAGTCTCCCCGGTGTGTGTAGGATGCATCCTATGTAGTTGGTGCATGTCCCACATAAGTTCCAGATAAAAATCCACTTGACCAGCAAAGTTCTTGCTACGTGCAGGACATGTTCTACCATGTTTTTTCATGTTTTTTGCTGGAGCTATAGATTCTGGCTACGGCTATATAAAAGGTCTTGGGTGAAATGCAATGTTGGATCCTTTTTGTGGGCTATGAATCTCCCAAAATTCCTTTGTTTACACTTCCTGCTGTTTTTATGGCCATAGACTTCACAGTTTATGGGGGTGAACCATCATTTTTGTTGAAAATAAACAAGAAAACAAAATTGTGTTGGTAAACATATAATATTATCATATATTCCTTTGATCTTTGGTTATAAAGCTATTGTATGTTCTATGATCAAACATATACATGATTATTTGATAGTATTATGTGTGTATAATATATACATACATACATACATACATACATACATACATACATAGATACATACATACATACATACATACATATATATAATCATATATAATCATATATAGTCATTTATAATCATATATAATCATATATAATCATATATAATCATATATAATCATATATAATCATATATAATCATATATAGATAGATATTTGTGTATAACCATAGATGATTGGCTTCATACCACATGGGAAAAGATCTGAAAGGTCCATGCAGAAACCTTCTGAGGTTTCGTCTTTAAGCACTTGTCGCAAACCGCGGAAAGCGATATGGCACATGATAAAAGCGAGAACGTGATCTGAAGGTGAAATAAAGTGAAGTATATAATTTAGTTTCCCTCGCCATTTGTGTGTGGTACAGTTGAGGAAATTGAAGCTTATAGATAGCTCATGGGAATAGATCAACATAGATTCCTGCCAAATGAGAAAGAAACTCCAGAACCCTTGTTTACAGTGTTTCAGTGTCTATTTCCCCCACTTCGAATCTGGAAAACGCTGGGTTCCAATGGTCTTTGGCAGCCGGTTAGTCCAAAACACAAGCTTTAAACTCTAATTAGTTGTCCCAGTGCAGCCTTGAAACCTGTCAGTCTGTCAGTCAGTAAAATTCTGATTCCTGATATATCTGGTTGTATGAACCAAAGAGATGAAAAACGATACTGCAGAAATAGAAGGACAGTTCCGAGCGATTTTCCTACCACTCTTTGAAAAAAGAGAGCAACGGACCGCTGACCATGAAATGCCGCTGGTGATGATGTGGAGATGGACGGACGATATGGTGAACTACAAAAAAGCGATAACTTTGGCGTCGAGACCGTTTTTTTAATGACCTTTTATGACCCCAAATAATGGTTATATTGGTCAGTTTTCATATTATCCAGTCATCTACATAATATTTATATTATTCATATATTATGCATATATATATATCATATATTATATATTGTATAATAATACACATGTATATATATATATATATATATATCATATATGATATTCCCATGATATCACCTGGTGATATTCCCATGTGCTGTTTTTGGTCCTGGTGACACCTGACCCCCGTTTGTCTTGGAGGTGCCTTTACTGGTGCTGCCTCCAGAGGTGCAAACCTTGGAGGTGCCGCAGCTAGTTTTCCATAGCTATGTGAAAGTACCAGAGGCTTTTTGTGGATATTTCTTTGGTCATGATGAATAGTACTTAATATAATACATATAATTGCATGATATATATATATATTATTATAGTTTATAGTACCGATGAATACTATGCAATGTAGGATATTGATATTTGATCGTCCCATCCCACGAAAATCCCCGACGAAAGCATGATTTCTGGGGGTGAAGGGATTATTTTTTCAGAAAGGGGTGTTGAGAGCGCTAAAAAAACGAAATTTTGGGGATATATAGCCTTGATACTATGGATGGTTTCATGTTTTTTTTGCGCTCACAACAGCCTGTGTAAGTAGGACGAATCATTTGATATACTAAGCAACCAATGTTTGCTGTCTGCTGTCTAACCCGAACTACAAAATCCTCCAACCCGAACTGCACAATCGTCCAACCCGAACTAAATCGCAACAAAAAAATGAAGTGAGAACAGGTACACGGAGAACTGTGACCCATTGCCGCTTTGATTTCTTTACAATTCCATGACATCATGATACGAATGTTTTCTTTTTCTCGGCGACATTATATAGATCCCCGAGAGGCAGCGAACATATGTTTTCAGATGCACCCTTACCCTGGTGTTGATGGTTCGCATTGAATGATGATCAGTTACAGTTACAATGCCCAAATTGCACTTCTGGAAGCAAGAAGGAAAGGTTCAAATCCTCGACGTGTTGAGGAAAAATACCAACTGTATTTTTTGCGTTTGTTTGAAAACACATTTGATTGTCAGTCGATTACTTAAGATCAACCAGATGTATCAGGTAATTTGGCTAACTTATTCATGGATCATTCCCAATTTTACCATACCCAATTCGATAGTCAACATTGGATGCCACAAGGATTTGTCTGACGATTTTTGGAAGACATTCCACTGGTTAGGCAACATTACCCTCTGGTAAACGAATATAGCTATTGAAAATGGCCATTTATAGTTGAATTACGCATAAAAAATGTGATTTTCAGTAGTTATGTTAGTTTACCGGAGGGCACCCCTATTGAAGTGGCCGTTTGAGCTGTATGCACCATCTTTCGACAAACCCACTGACCGTCATGTCCGGTCAATGGAATTAATAGGCGCATGGACCTCTAATCAATACTATTTATAAGCCACACGGACACTAGTAGTCATAATCATAACTGCAAGGAGCAGTTTTATGATGTTGAGGCAAGCGTTCTATTGATTATTGCTAGCACTCAGTTAATCTCAGTTATATTACATCGATCATTAAGACAATGATTCTCACTCATCATTAAATTATTATTACAACAACCCTATCAACCTATATCAGCAATATTAATTGTCAACCATAAATCCTCATTGCCCCAAAAACCTGTGACTGTACTATATTGTACTATAGTGTACTAGTCATAATTTAATCATGATTGTTCTGATTCTTTCCCTACTGTGGATGGACAAGCCATCCTGCACCAGTTGGTGACTATTGGTGTCTATGAAACAGTGTACAAGAATGGGATGATGATGGGATAATAATGGGATAATCGGATAAAGCGCCTACCAACTGGTGATACCTGGATTTCGCAACCATCCGCAGTACGTAGTAACTTGGCTGAAAAAACCTCAATCAATCATATTCTCCTTGGTTTCCCATCATTTAAATAACCAGATGGTATATCCATCAATATCCCAGTATTATCCCATCATTATCCCATTATCAGAATTATCATCCCTATAAACCATATGAAAAACCATAGGTTGTTTCATGTTAAATAACCAGCTGGTATATCTACCATAAACTAACCACGTAGAATTCAGCCACTGAAACATCACTCGACATCTGTGGATCCCACCCAGGCCCGAGTGAAGGAGGTCTTCTTGGAGCCCGAGCAATCCATAGAGCTGCCCAGTGCCGCAGGCAACGCAGCGTGAGTGAAAAACGCAGCACAACAGCAGTGACTAGTTCTTTGTTTACAATATAACATATGTATATATATATGCATGTAATATATATATATAGTATATATATATATATAAACATATTTATATATATATATATCACATTTCTGTGATGCAACAGGGTTTAATACATGTAGATTAATAATCGCAGGTCCGGCCCATCGAGTCCCAGAGAACTCGTTGGGTTGGTCTGGATTTCTCCATACTTCACATTTTAAGCAGGCGGATGTCCAGATTTCATCCTAGGTCAAAGTTATCAAAACATCAAATGGATGGATTATGAATTATGAAATCGATTACTGCATATGTATGTATATATACATACATACATACATACATACATACATACATACATACATACATACATACATAGATAGATAGATAGATAGATAGAGAGATAGAGAGATAGATAGATAGATAGATACATACATAGATAGATAGATAGATACATAGATACATAGATACACAGATACATAGATACATAGATACATAGATACATAGATACATACATACATACATACATAGATACATAGATACATAGATACATAGATAGATACATACATACATACATACATACATACATGCATACATGCATACATGCATGCATACATGCATACATGCATACATGCATACATGCATACATGCATACATGCAGACATACAGACATACAGACATACAGACATACAGACATACAGACAGACAGACAGACAGACACACACACATACATACATACATACATGCATACATGCATACATGCATACATGCATACATGCATACATGCATACATGCATACATGCATACATGCATACATGCATACATGCATACATGCATACATGCATACATACATACATACATACATACAGACATACAGACATACACACACATACATACACACACATACACACACACACATACATACATACATACATACATACATACATACATACATACATACATACATACATACACATATACATATACATATACATATACATATACATATACATATACACGTCACAAGTTTTCCCCTTAGATCCCTTAGATGAACCTCTGGTTGTTTGTTCAAACCAGGCCCATCACCGGATACTTCCATCATGCTGTCCGGGGACCCGGAGGATTCTGCTCAGCTCGGTGTAACTGGTGGTCGATTTCACGGGTTTCCTCGATGATTTTGGGAGTTGCAGGCTAGTTTTAACATGTTGTGTATATATGTTATAATATGTGTATATATATATATTATAATATTTATACATGCATATAATTATATGTATATATATATATAGGTGTTATAATATATATATATATATATGTTACAATATTTATATATGTTACAATATATATATGATACATATGGAAACGGTTTAGAATTGTTGAGTAAAACAATGATAATCAGCACAAAGGTAGGATAGAACCTCAATGTCTTCAGTCGACTTAATACGTCTGAAATAGACGGCACAAGTTTGTATATGGCCGCTGAATGACGGTGCTATGGTCGGGGTCATACTCGTTGGTTTGATGATTTTACTAATGTACCGTATGAAACTGAGATGAACTGAGACTCGTGCTCTTAACCACGCAGTAGGTTGGGGGATGATTGAAGGTGAACTGGGCACTGCGACGAAATGCCCAAAGCTGCGACGAGTTTGGCTCAAACGACGACATTTCAGGTCTCAGCTGAGATATGTTTGACATGTTATACTCAATGATGGTGACACTCTGCATCCACCCTTTCCAACACTCAGAAAGGATCAAAGAGCTCAGCATTTGAAAGCCACAATATCTCTTGTAAAATGACTCACCATCAATCAGCTCGAATTTGGATTTGACGCCCATTTACCCCAGCAGTTCTTGATAAACTTGCCATTCATTCTTGATCAAATCCTCATTCTTAGAGTGGAAGTTGTAATTGATCCTAGTTGCGCTGGTGAAATCCCAATTTTGCCATTGGTACAATCTTATTAGTTTGTGAAATCATGTCCGTAGTTTTGAAATAATTCGTCTGACAAAATCCTAATTGGCGAGTTCAAACAATCCCACAAGAGATCCCAGCTATCCATGATTCACTGGGTCAGACCCACCCACATCTTTGATATCTTTGGAGATAACAATGGTTATAGTTAACCCACTATTATTTAGACCCACTTTTTTAAAAAAATGATCTTTGGTTAACTAACCCCCTATCTATAGAGTTAAGCTATTGAAATCACAAGGCGACCACCTCCCATGGCCACTCCGCCATGGAGACAGTGCTGGGCTGCAAGAGGACTCTGGAAGCTTCCGACAGCAGTGTGGAGCAGCTGAAGGCCGTCCTGCAGGAGACTTTGGTCGAGATCTAGGGGGATCTGTTGGGATTTAACTTGGTTTACCCTCTGGTAAATTAACATAGCTATGGAAAATCACCATTTTTAATAGGTAGATCAACTATACATGGGCCATTTTCAATAGCTATGTTAAATTATCAGAGGGTAACCATGTTTAACCATGAAAAATGAACCAAACATGGTGATTTCATGGTATATACTGGTGATATTTGCTGGCTTAACTTCGATTCGACATGATTGAAGCAACAAAAAAATGGGGATCTCGCTATTCGAGATGATCTTCCCCTTCATGGGATATGTTGAGATGGCGGGATGTTCTGGATCTTTGAAAAACTCAACACAAGCGGAGCCAAGGCCTGAGAAGGTGCTCAAACGACCAGGAAAAAAGTTCACTTCTATTTTTGAGCCTGTAAAGTCTGCGTTTTTTTTTGTAAGAAGCCACATATTTTGGTTTTGAAACAGAACCACTGAAAGCTCCAATATTAGTATTAGTCGTTTTTTGAGATGCGAAGCTCTGCCAGTTTCAATGCCGTTTCGGAATGGGGAACAGTGTCACAATTTCCTTCCGTTTCGGATGGTATATGATAGCCTTGGATAGGTCCATGTTTTTCCGGGTGGTTGCAGGTTTCCTGAAGCTCCTCCCCAAGGAATCCTCCGTTTGTCCCAGTGTTTTCAAGGGATTTTTCCATGGCTTTTCTGGTCTTTCCTTGGCTTTTCCCGAGGAGCTGCGAAATCTTGGAGAGTTGTCCACCAAAGTGTTGGCCGAGACAAAGATTGGCCTCGCGGTGAATCAGCTCAGCAAGGTGCGTCAGCTACTCACCGGGACGCAGGGTGGTTTTGCGTGGATTTCGTGCGGTTTTATCGTAAAACATCCATGAAAAAGAAAGATTTTAACATGGTTTAACTGTAAACATTGGTGATTTAATGGCTAGGTCAATCTTGGATGGGTAGTTTAACCCTTTAGTCTTTTGGTATCAATGGGATTATCTACTAAAGAGCTAAGAATTTAATTGTTTGCAGGGTATCTAAGATTGGCCATGATGCCATATACTGGTGATCTAGTTACTTAGCTTCTGGTGTCATCAAACGTGGCTGGAAAATGCCGTGAGCTATGGCTGGAGGTTTTTTGTGGCACAATCATAGACACTACCCTCTGGTAATTTAACATAGCTATTGAAAATGGCCATTTATAGTGGATTTTCCCATTAAAAATGATGATTTTCCATAGCTATGTTAGTTTACCAGAGGGTAAATGGTGGATTCCCAATTGCCACGTTTGATTACCGGAGGGTAATTTGAAACAATCATGTGATGCCAAAACCTTTGAGTCAAAATGTGCTCACCGTGTTCACCATCTTTTTTTTTCCATGAGAATCTGTGACACAGATTAAAGTTGTTCCTGCCATTCTGCCCCCTGAATCCAGCAACTGAATCCATGTTTTTGGATTTGTTTTGGGTTTTGGACAGATTCAGGCCAGTCGTTTCTTTAGTGAAATAGCTGGCGTTACTGGCGTTCATGTCCATCCCAGAGGCAATTCACCAGCAGTGATGAATTTAAATGGGAACACCTACACGAACTGAAGCCACAGGCAAGATCACATGAAAGAAGTGCAAGAATTCGCAATCATCCGTATGATATATGATAATGCATGTATGCACCTGTATGTAATATATTTGATTTATACATAAGATACCATTATATATATAAGAGGCCCTTCAACTAAAGATCACCTTAACAAATTCAAAAGCGTTGATGCACTCGAAGACTTATTTGTTTGCTGAGTGCGGGGTTACGGCCCTGCAGGCAAGTCATGGAAGTGAGGAACTTCGCGACATGGCCAAGTGCTTGGTGCAAGACTGGAAGCAGCTGCATCGCAAGAGGAGGGCCCAAGGGGCATATTTTGAGGGGAGAGCTGAAAAGGTGACCCGGGAATGTAACATGGGTAACATAGCGGAATGTTGAAAATCACAGAGTTTAACTAGTTGAACTCATCGAACTATGTGCCATGTATTGCCATTTTCGAAATAATAAGTTATATACCCTATGTTGCCCTTCAATTGAATGGGAGTTTAATATGGCTGCAACTCACATTTTTCTAGGTCTGGATCAAGGGTTGAAACATCCGGAGGAGATCCAGACCGATCCATGTGGATCACAGAACGACCCAGATCCGTTTTTTTGAGCCACAACAATTATGGAGGTTTCCTAAAATAGGGGTAACCCCTAAATCATCGATTTTGATAGGATGTTTCCTTATATTTTTTGGGTACCATCCGTTTGTGGAAACCTCCATGTTTTGTTTCAAGTACTGTAGCAACATTTGGGTGTTTACCAGTGTACCTGTCAAAAAATGCAAAATTTTCTGGACAAGAAAATAGCTCTCCTGTAAATGGAGCTTGATCCCGCTTGTCCAGATGAGATTTTCAATGAAAAGCAGCAGAAATGGTGGTTATGATCTTATGGAATGATCACAATCTGCCTTGCTTTGGTGCTTAGAGTAGCCAGCAACTAAGAATTGATTGTCGACATTAAAGTTGGCACATTGCAGATTTGCAAGTTATGCCGGGTTCCCCATAGATGGATAGGATACTGTACTATAGATTGAACAGATAGGATAGGTAGATAGAGCGAAAATTTGGTTCCAACAAGATATATACATCGGTTTGTTGGTGCGCCTTTCGTTTATCCCTGCATTGCTACTCCGAACCGAAGCAGCTGTAACCCTCCTCCAACAGACCCTGCAGGAAAGGCGTCGCTGAAAGCGAGAGCCCCAAGAAAGCTGCCAGAGGGGCACCAGTCGCGCCTGAAACTCCAAAAAAAGCACCTCCAGCTACTTGACGCCAATGTGCAAGGTGAATTGGTTGCTTTGGTGATCTTTGGGCCATTTTGATAGGTTTTGATCGCGTAGACTATCCAATCTTGACTAAAATTGATGTTTGTGGTGGTCAAGATTAGCCATGGTTGCTTGGGACTATCCACTGCACGTACCACTGAACCCTTGATGTTGTGATTTGTTTGAGAACTGTTCAAAATAATCTATGACCAAATTTCTGAGTCCTTTGATCATTCTGATCCATGTCAATGTTTGCTGTTTCACCCCATGACCCCCAGTTTCAGGAGCCAGGCTCCTTGTTTAATTCGTGGTGCCCTCACGGCAAACGATCCCAGCGGACTCTAGCAGAGGTGACTGGAGCCAGACTCAAGGTGCTCGAAAAACTTCAAGATGCTTTGAAGGTGGGGCTAGCCCTGGAAAACACGTTGTTTTTAAGGGCACCATCAGGTATGTATGTATATATGATTCAAGTATCAGAATCTACATGCACAAGAATGTTGATTAAAACTAAACATGCACAAATTGACAAGTTCCGTCAAACCTTTTAGCACCAAACTCGCATGAAACCTTGAAGGTTACTATAGTGGAGGCTTTTGGAGCTGAGATCATTTGTCTGCATGTCCATTCAACAAAACTTTGGAGCCTATGCATTCACCAGCCAAATCATCGGAAATGTTTCCACTGGTTCTATTATAGAGAGAATCCTCAAATAGTCTCCAGCTGCTGGTTTCAAACATGATGTTTCAGAGATTCAGAGGGTTGAAAATAGCAGTGTTTAAAATGTGGAAAGAAGGTAGTCCCATTCTTCCGAAATGTGCATTTTTTGGAGGGCTGCATCTTTTTTCAGAGGCGATCTTTTCCCAGCAACCTGGCTCAAAGACTTTTCTCAAGGGGGTTTTCTCAAGGGGTTTGGAAGGTTTTGGCTGACCCAGTGAATCGCCAAGCTGCTTCCAGGAGGCATCGCTTCGTTGTGGTTCAGTCGAAGCTGTGTCAGTTGAAGATTTTGCCGGGCAACTCGAAGAGGAGCCACTGTCGACGATTTAGCTGTTCCAGTTCATGCCTTGGCTGATGGTTTTTGATCTATTACCCATATGCTCCATGTATGGTATAATTACCATTAATTACCTACATGACTGGGTGATTTTTAGGGCAAATGTTTGCAAATAAAAATCATACATGGAGCATTTTTTTGTTATATGGGATGTTATGGGTTTCTCCTTAAACAGAGATCCCTTAAAGAGTGAAGATCATGACTGGTCACTGCATACATCGCTGATCCAGGGGTGGTAGGACCTCAGAGGTGACTGAAAGGTTACCATCTGGTTATGACTAACAGTTTGCCATGAAAAATCACCATTTTTAATAGGTAAATCATCTATTTCTATGGACCATGTTCCATGGGTATATTATACGCTTGTTCAATGGTGCTCTGTCAACCCTGCTGGTTTCTATGATATACCACTCAGATTGGCCATGGGATGGAGCGGTCACCGGCTGATTCGCAAGGGCAGAAGAATTCATGAGAGATATTCCCATGGAAATATGCTATCAGATATACCCGGTAGGTAAGGGTTCATCCCAGCGAGTTTCGCACTTCCCATGGATCCATGGATCCTTTCAGGGTTCATCATGTTCATCCCAGCCCTACCAATGGACCAAAGCCTCCAGCCAGGAGCTGCACCGGAAGTTTGCTGTCATGGAGCAGGCTGAGAAATTGCAGCTTGGTGGAACATGTTCGATGTAAAGAAAAAAATATGTCACTCACCCGGTGACTGATCCCAGCAACAAAAAAGGAAGATATGATGAGCTATGGGTCTGGGCATGGGTCAAATTTCAATAACCAGCGCAGAGACTGTTTGTTTGTTCTTGAGAGTTCTTCATATTGAGTGTCTATTTCTTTGTGGTTCTCACATTCGCCCAAGCCCACATGATCTAAAGCCAACAACATCAAGTTTCTAAAGGGCAGTCCATTAGTTCTTGTTGGGAGATGTATCACCTTGGATGCAGGGGTTTCCTCTAAAGGGACCTCCGGACCTCCACGCAAGAAATCATCAGTCTCGCTGATGGTTTGAGACATTTCGCCTGGAGATAGCAGGTACATGAACCAATCCCGCACCATCCTGTTCAATCTCAAAGACCCCAAGAACCGGACCTTCGCTTCAAAGCTTCTTGCAGGCGGTCCGCAAAGTCAGGCTGAGGGGTAAAAAGATAGGCGACTTCACAATGACCTCGCTGGAATTGATGGTTACCCTCTGGTTATTTAACATAGCCATGGAAAATCACCATTTTTAATAGGTAAACCCAGGTAAACCATCTATAAACGGGCCATTTTCCATGGCTATGTTAAATAACCAGAGGGTAATTAGTAAGGTAAACCACCGCAGAATGGACTGATTTTGACAAGATTTCGGACGTGTTGCTAAGTTGCCTAGATGGGTTAGCTGTTATTTCTAAGACATGGCTTTGTATCGAAACGAGGCACATCGTATACACTGTATACCCCATGGCCATCAAAGACTGGCTCAAAAATGTCGCTGGCACGGAGACAATGAGAGTTATTCTGCTAGTCAAGCATCGAAAATCAGTTATTTGATGTTATTTGTACTAGTCAATAAGCTCAATGGTTTTGAGCGAATCACACATGTTGGTGTATTGTTAGTGGTTTTGAGTCATATAATCAGAATATACTGTATGTATATATACATATATAATCGTAGATATATATCATTATTTACAATATATATATATATATACAAATTACGTATAACTATATATATACACCAGTAGTACCGCACAAGGCGGTGGCGGAAGTTTCAGAATAGGAAACCTATAGGAGACGTTGGTTGTTGTGAATCACGGATGGCAGAGCGAATCCACTGATTGAACGAAAGGTGGTTGGAGTTGTGTTTGCTGGAGTGGTTGCAATGGTTGCAGTGGTCACCTCACCCACAACTGCTGGATGTAGTGTGATGTACCGCTAACTGTAGTTGTAGTTGTAGCGTAGTGGAGTTGTAGTTGTGGTGTAATGTAATTAGTGTAGTGTAGTTGCAGTCATATAGTTGTAGTTGTAGCAGTAGTAGTAGTAGTAGTTGTTGTTGTAGTTGTTGTGTAGTTGTAGTCGTAGTTGTTGTAGTTGTAGTTGTTGTTGTAGTTGTAGCTGTAGTTGTTGTGTAGTTGTAGTTGTCGTGTAGTGTAGTTGTAGTTGTTGTAGTTGTAGTTGTTGTAGTTGTTGTTGTTGCTGTTGTTGTAGTTGCAGTTGTAGTTGTAGTTGTTGTTGTTGTAGCTGTAGCTGTAGTTGTTATAGTTCTAGTTGTAGTTGTTGTGTAGTTGTAGTTGTAGTTGTAGTAGTAGTTGTTGTTGTTGCTGCTGTTGTTGTAGTTGTAGTTGTAGTTGTTGTAGTTGTAGCTGTAGTTGTTGTAGTTGTAGTTCTGCTTGTAGTTGTAGTTGTTGTGTAGTTGTAGTTGTAGTTGTTTTAGTTGTAGTTGTAGTTGTTGTTGTGGTTGTTGTTGTTGCTGTTGCTGTTGCTGTTGTCGTCGAAGTTAGGGTAGTTAAGTTAGTGAAGTTAGTTAAGTTAGTCAAGTTAGTTAAGTTAATCAGTGTCTACTTTTTCGACATCGTAACGTCAAAAAAGGCTCAAAACCCTCAGTTTTTTACACTTTTGACTTCGAAATGTGCTTCGCGCCACAACGGCGTGCACTTTTTCGACATCTGAACCTCCAAAAGTGGTCCGAGAATGGTGTGTTTTGTACATTTTGACTTGGAAATGTGCTTCGCGCCACAACGGCGTGCACTTTTTCAACATCGCAACTTCCAAAAGTGGTCCGAACCCCTAGTGTTTTGTACATTTTGACTTGGAAATGTGCTTCGCGCCACAACGGCGTGCACTTTTTCGACATCTCAACTTCCAAAAGTGGTCCGAGAATGGTGTGTTTTGTACATTTTGACTTGGAAATGTGCTTCGCGCCACAACCGCGTGCACTTTTTCGACATCTCAACTTCCAAAAGTGGTCCGAAGCTGAGGTGTTTTGTACATTTTGACTTGGAAATGTGCTTCGCGCCACAACGGCGTGCAATTTTTCATCTCTCATCTGGCCAGCTGGCTCCGCACCCGCCGCTTTAGCGAGCCTACTTTTCGACCCTCCGGGGCCACAAATCATTGGAAAAACACAGTGTTTCGCGACTTTCCTACCTTTTCGCGCATCTGCATCTTCTTTCTTCTGATCTTTTCTCTTCTGACTCTTCTCACCTCTGCTTTTCAACTGTCCATATTGTCGGAAGTTTCACTTCTAAACTTCCTTCGATTATGTATTTTATATTGTTCATATGTATATACATAATATTACATGAATATAAAATATAATTCTATTATATGAATGTATGTATATGTGTATATATATACATATATACATATATACATATATACATATATATATATTATATCGCCTTTCATCCCTGAAAAGCTTCCCATTCACCACGGGGCACTCACTGGACGTGCAGCGATTGTTGACATTTGGTGGTTTCCATGGGGGATCCCCAATAGCTGGATGGTTTACGGAAAATCCGGGAGAAAAATGGATGGTTTATAGGGGTACCACCATTTTAGGAAACCCCTAAACCATCCATTTTTCTAAAGAATATGTACCTACACAACCCCTAAAATGGTAAAATAAAATGGAGCTCCCAGCCACAGCTGGCTTCGTGTTCCTGGTCAGGCGAATTGTCTCCGTCGCAGCTACCCAGCATGACTAGTGAAGCTCGGCATTTGATGTCCGATGCCAGGCTGCTGGAATACTAAGAGACTCTCAAGAACTAGCTATTCACATCTCAACACGTCATCAATCCGGAGAATGTGTTGAAAATTTAAATGACATCAAGTATCTCCAAGTCACATCCACGTCGGCTGGTTTTTTTGCATGATTGAGCAGGCTCCTGTATTCCGATGTAAAAAAAACGAATGGATCAAATGGTGGCACTGGCGGCCCTTAGCCTTATAAGTGTCCCTAAGTATAGTATGCTCTTGTAATCCCTTAAACTACAAGTCCCTATACACATGATAATTATCATAGCACTCATACAGACTCACCGGCCGGCACTTTTTCAGGAAGACATGGCCAGCGATCAGAAGAACCAAAGTCGTGCAGAACAGCGGCTGCAAGCGCTGCAAGAGTCTGCCATCAAGGCGCGGCTCCGTGTGCAGTGCAGTGCTTTTTTGACCCAATGGGAGATGGAGATGTTGCCAAATGTTGCCAATGGAACTTCAAGAAATTGATGTTGCCCATGGAAATCATAGCAAAATCATTTGTCAAGCCAAATTTTGGGGTTGGAGGAGAAATGGTCCGTTGCTTAAATTAAATCCTAGTTTTTAAAGCCAACCTGTACAGTAGATGGAAGAACCCAAAGTTTTGAGAAACTTCTTCTGTGGTTACTCCACTCACAAATTGGGATGCTCATAAAAATTTAAGGGCTAACGCCCCCTGCCGCCGACCCCTGGAAAAGAACGTGAAGAAGCGGAGGACATCGTGACCGAGTGTTGTCTTTGGTCGCATGGAAGCGATATATGTCACCATCGAAGCCCAAAAATCGACCGGATGTTTGCATGGTCATATGCAATGCTTTGTGCAATGTTTGCATCAGCACACACCGTTAACGGAAATTTTCGAATTGCCTCCCGATAGGTTGGACGCATTGCGACAAGAATACTGTCGTTATAATGCACATGTTGTGCACAGCATCTACACTGGGCAAACGGACTCTCAAATAGAAGCCGGCATCAAAGACGCGGAGGACAGTTGGCCCGAACATATGCACAATCCACGCATGATGTCCATCCCCCAATACCAAACTCGACGAGCACCGGCTCGAGCCGAGATGGGTGCATCGAACGCATGGACGAAGGAAGCCGACAAATGGACACAAGACTACTTGGCAGACGATATAGTGAGCCTACAGTTTTTAAAGCAGCATCATTACCACCCTTTCAACGCTGAAACTGGTGAACGCGTGCCTTTACGAGGCTGCCAAAGAAATGACGAAAAAGGCCTTTG